ACAAGGAGATCCTATGTCTGTAAAATTATTTTTACTTTGCTGCCATGATTAGGGGAACATTAGAATGAAAGGAATTACTTACAGAACATCTAAAATTGACAATATTAGCAGATGATGCTACTGTGATAATAGATATTTTTAAAATCTGCCAATCAGCTTATTTACAATTTTATATGGGGTTCAAATTTGGAGAGTGATAAAAGATACACTTGGTGATGCAACTTTTTACAATAGGGGTGTGATATTATGCAAATAATTGCAACAAGAAAATGTGTTGTCGATTGATTGGAAAATAATTTTTTCTGTCGCGAATAATCAACTAATTCTAATATCCATATATGCCCTGCACGAATAAGGAATATAATTTGAGCAAAATAATTGCAACAAGGAAATTTATTGTCGATTGAATGAAAAACAAAGCAAGAAGAAGGTGGACTATTGATTTGAATGTTTATTTCACATTTAATTCGAACAAATGCTATACCAATGTATATTTTTCCACTATTGAAAAATAGCATATTTAGACATGAAGTGCATCGCGATTGTCAGATCAGAGCTCTGGGCAGATATCTTGGATACCGAACAATCGGCCTGAAGATGCGACGAATCCAAAAAGGTTCGGCTGGGCCGAATCCGAGTATTTGGGCTGGACTCGTGCCCGAGTCTAATAGGTTTACATAACTCCGTAATAAATACCTTAATTGTGCTGTTGTTTGCGTATATTGGCCGTAAATTGATTTTTTTAAGATAAGACTATGTAATTCAAAACGTTGCACATAAACACTATTGCTTTCGGGACAGTCTTTCGCTGAGGGGCAGGTTTAAATCAGTTTAAACAGATCTTCCTATTCCCCGTCGAAAGAATACTTTGTTACGTAGAATACGCTCTGACCGACCGCCGCGCCGACTGCGGCTCGTGTCTGTGACACCGTTGACAAAATAAATATGTATGTATGTATGCCCGGCGTTTGGCAGTACTTCGACAAGTGCGAAGACGATTCTTCCAAAGCCACCTGCAGACTTTGCGGGGGTATAGGAAAAGACAAGTCCTGTTATACTATAAGCTTGATGAGCAAATATTTGAGAATCTTCCTTAGTATTAATGCCGTGAGTGAAAAAAGGAGTGTCGATGGTGTGGATGTGAATCTACTCAACAAACTAATATGTAAATATTCGCTAAAAAAGAGAAGATAGAATCAACGCATCCTGCCTCTAAAAGGATCACAAAGAAAATTGGCGAAATAATTGGGGCGGATTTTGTCTCATATTCGATAGTCGAAAACAAAGGTTTTCTACGACTGATTGCGGATTTTTAACCTCGTGATCAGGTGCCGTCACGCGGAAATGGTAATTTCAGAGATATACCAGAAAGTTGAAAAGAAAAGAAAATTGTTGATGAAAAAGGCGGTGGGGCCAATTTCCGCTACAACCGATATATGGCCAGTCAACAAAATAACTCCTTCTTCAGCACAAAAGCGAGTTTTAAAATGTAGGAAAATAAATCTTTGAAAAGATACATGCCTGTGCTTTCCTGCTCTGAAATTAACGGCTCTCACACTGGAGAGTTGATACTCAAAGTTATCCGAAAACAAGAGGAAACCTGGGGCATAAAATTCGACGTGATAGTGTCTGACAACGCATCCAACATTACTAAAGCCCTCACTGATGGTAACATTTTCAACATGAGATTTTTCGCGCATACTAATACTATAAATTTAGTGATCCTCCATGCTCTAGAAATTCAAAGGACTGTGATAGACACTATTGGTGCAGAACGGAATATCGTTTCCCATTATTACCGATCCAATAGAACTCTTCAGGGAATGTCAGAAGCGTTTAGGATCAGTACAACATACCTAAATCCGGGACGTGACGACCAGGTGGAATTCAACCTTTTATATGCTGGAAAGGATATTGTAACAGAAGGAAGTCGTAAACCACATATATATCATATTACAGAATAGGCACAACATTGACTGTAAATTGATGGCGTGTCGCGTCGTCTCTTGTTACTTATCGATCTTGATCGGTAAGTATGTTGATAGGTATTTGTTTGTTTGTCTGTTTGTCTGTTAGAAACTTTCGTGTGTTACGAGATATCTCACGAAAGCGAGATTAAATCTGCATGCGCATTCATCATATCTCGGACCAGAAGCCTATTGATTTTGGATCAAGTATGTCCTATAATTAGCGAGTTATCAATTAATTAGTTTGGACACACGGTGTCGCTATAGAGTAAGAGCGGATGAATCGAAACCGCAGTTTCTGTTTTGGGGATCCCCTAACTTCCGATCGATAAGTCTTCGGTCTCCGACCGATATTCTCGTTCAAGTTTTGAAGATTTTCGAATTGGAAACATTAGAAGTATGTTGCCATTCTTTTACCTTTGCCAGTATTTTGCCGGCTACTAATAATAATCTGCTAAGAAGAATCGAATCATTTCTAAGTGACATCGACATATATGGGGAGGAGTCGTTTTCAGAAAGTTGAAAATTCCAGTTTGAGCAAAGATTTATTAGGTCAGTTCAAGGAATCACGCAAACTCGTGAAGCAAACTCATGATATATATATATACGATCGATGCCTCATAGACGCGGTGCTTGACCCGCGCATAAAATCATCGTGGTGCAAAATGCCTTTGGCCAAAATAGAGCGAATAATAATGCAGAATATTACAAGTAGTGTTGACGCTTCTGAACGCTCCGTTGATCGAGAGACTTCTTCTTCTTCTTCTTAAGATCAAGAGGAAGGCGTGGTGTTCCAGAAAATTGATCGTCCGGGTTCTCTTTCCGTCTCAATGGATTTGGATAAATGCAGCAGGTACCAACGCGCGGTAAATCACCGTTGGTGTTCTGGTCAGAAACTAAACATGCTAATTTTGACTTGTTTAATCTCGCCGTGCGTATGATGTCTTTTCCGCCCACTTCTGTGGACTCCGAGCAACTCTTCGGTACTACCGGGCAGGTAACATCCCCTTCACGGAACAGGCTTGTTCCAAGAAATGTAGAAATTCCAACATTTTTGCACGTCAATCTAAACAAATTAGAGACGATTACTGACATTGCATATATCATACATTTCGTGCAAACAACGTTTTTGTGGAATGCACCACTCTGCTGATTTGTTTTATTCCGTTGTGAAGTAATTTCTTCGAGAGTGTAAGCAGTCTAAATAAGTAGTTTTTATCTCCAAGATAAAAGATATCTTTATCGACGAGTTTTTATCTCCGGAAATGTCTTACCAAGCGATCGAGACAGGCGATGAAGTTTCTTCGCTACGTAGGACTGGATAAAAGGGAAAAATAGCGAGAGAAAATTGGCTTGACACTCTCGTGGCAAAACAGAACGAAAAAGTTGAATTACTCGTCGAATGCGCCATCAACCTGCGACTGACTAACGCGTGACGTATTATATCCCGGACTCGGGTAAAATCATCTAAGGCTCGGGCCGAATCTGAGTATCAGATTACGGGAGATTCGGCGACGAGTCCGAATCTGTGAAGATACGATGTTCATGCTCGAAAGGCAGACAACTCGCTTACCAATGATTATAATTTACGATGCGAGTTAAGATGTGAAAAATGAATGTAACCTGGGAAATTATTTGTATTTTCAATGTTTCTGATTTGATTCATTTATTAATAGTTTTGCTATACCACCAAACGAGAGTTGTGAATATATTTTATTGTATCATTCTGACTACCCTTTTTTGGCGCAAAAGACCCAGTTGTCAAAGACGCCATTAAACCTTTTACCTCACCTTACCAATGATTGCAACATTTGTATGACATCGTTTCGTTGCTAGATAACTCGACTGCTTCAGTGCCTGTACTTGCTCAGCGTTTACTTAGTGCCAACCATGGGCTTTGGTGCCAACTATCAGTGATAGGCTATAATAAGTTGTTGTTATGTTCTGCTACGTTGTGTACTTATATGATATCTGGCTACTTCTAATAGCACTGATAGACTGAGCTACGATTCAGTATGTTGTATTGCAGGACATTGTATTTGTTAATTAAAGACATAACACACAGATTATATTGGATATAGAAGCACACACGACGCTAGCTGAACATAGAAACTATCGTCAACTCTAGAATGACCTTTGACCCTAACTCACAGCTGCCATACGTTACAGTTTGAAGCCTACTCAGCACGACAAGGTTTCAGTCTTGAATTGGGTTTTATTTTTTGCAGAAGAAAAGCAGGATCTGATGGGCACTTGACTGCCGCTGCGCCTGGCACAGAAACAGGACATGAACGAGGGATTTCGTTAACGTTAGATTTTTTGGTTACGGAATGATTATGTGTAAGCAATAAGGGATTTTATACTTATAAGGGATTTTATTTAAGTTTTTGATTACTTTGTCTACTTTTCCTCGATAAACATTTGCTATATATGTATATATATACTCTTTGTTTGCGATACTGTGGTCAGTATATTCTTGAGCTTCTTCAAGGAAGAGACTCAGCAGATACCAGAATATGGCTGTACGATAGCTCTGTGTCCTACAGTCATAATAGCCCTCAACACGCGGTACCTTTTCGTTAGCCTCAGCATATGCTACTCTATCGTTCACACATCTCACCGCATTTTCTTTTGAAATCTCCACAACCACAACATCTTGTCAACAGAAGCATAATATAATAGGTACCGTATAATATCAGCAGTCTGATGGTGCTAACGTTACAGCAGATTCAGTTTCTTCCGTAGGTTATTCGTGGAACGTGGGCAATATATTTCACATACAGCGCATGAACATGGTAATTTGAGATTATCGGTGTGTTCTTTTTGCCATTGGCAGTAGTAGGCATTTAAGGATTACCATATATTTTTAAGTGCCCAAATTGTGTTTTTAAAATGCATCGCGATGCCTGTTTAACTTTGTTTAAAAAATCTTCTTCAGATTCATGATTATTGTAAAGTATTCTTTAGTTTACAAGCATCGATTGAGTTTTATGAGCAGTTTTTCTCAGGGGTACCTATTTTATTATTTCACAGAATAATATGTTTTGTAACACATTAGTTATTGTACAATTCTTCAAATCGTTGTCTGTGATTAATCTGTAACGTCTGCCTGTGTTGTGCAATCATGGCTTTCTAAACCCTTCGGAAGTTTATATTCCTGTGGCTACCATATTTGGTATGCCATAGGGCTGACGGTTTTTGAGTGACTTAACTAAATACTGATAATAAAGACTATTACAAACCACTGTGAAGTTGTGTGAGACACATAAAGACTTAAAACAGAATCATCACGAACGAAATGACATCAGCAACAAAGAGGAAACATGTTGTAAAAGAAATGCTTGACGACTTTAGCATTCCAAGTGAAAATCAAACTATTGTAAAGGTGAGATATTTGTTCCCAATCCAAGCCTTTGAAAATACCGTATTAGTTCATTCAGTTTTTGTTTACAAATTGCCCAATTTTGCCTTTGCACAAATGTATAGCAATGTATAGCTCATGCGTATATTACTTTTGTCAATGAAATGCTTCATGTCCAATAGTACTTGAGCTATGGAATAGCTTTTATATATTCAAAAATTGAATAAATTCTAAAGCTTTTGTTCTAAGCTTGCTATTGCAATCAGAATTGGTGAAAGTGAGCAACCATTCATTGTGCTTTGGTAATTTTTTATTAAACTATCATATAAATTTTGTTCAGGTATTGGGGACTCCGGGATCAAACCTGCATGAGGTTTCAACTTCAGATGGTAAAAAGATACTCTGTAGCCTTCCTCTGAAGTTTCGGAAAAACATATGGATCAAGCGAGGTTTTTATTGAAATATATATATATATATACATTATCTTGATTCTTGACTAGTAATCTTCACTCAACCTGATGTTCAAGAAGACGCTTCACTCGATGAATCCAATTTTTTAACCATGTACTCAAGATTTATTATACAATATGTTTGGTTTTTGCTGGACTTTTGTACATTCTAAGTCTAGAATTGAAAATTATCGCAGAATCAACCTCATTCTTGATTCCTGCATGCTTTGTCGTTCTCTCAGAGATAGTCATGACCTAGATTGTTTGATTGATTGATACAATGTGATATTATCATCTTGCTATTAGCCTTTTAAAATTCACAGAAGCAACAGTATATGATTGCTGCTTATTTTACACTACTGATATCAAAATTCATATCAACATGCATATTAATCCTGGTATCAACCAATTTCAACATCCAGATATGCTTTGCACAAATAGAAAATAAAAGGTTTTGCCAATGCAATTAATTAAAAGGGCGAGGGCATTACGTATGGTATATTCCCTGTTCTCCTCTTTCATTTGTACTGTATTTTGTTATCTTGCTCTATTTTCCTGCTATACTTCATTGCCGCTTATGTTTTTCTGTTTCATATGTTTTGTTTTCCAATACTTGATTTTGATGATCCTCAGTTCTGAAATGTTTTCACATAGGTGATTTTGTTGTTATTGAACCCATTGATGAAGGAGATAAAGTCAAAGCAGAAATTGTGCGAATATTATATCCACAACATGTTAAATATTTACAGAAAGAAGATATATGGTAAAAATTATTTTGGTATTAATAATAAATCACTGTCATTATTAAATATTGTTTAAACTTTAAAGGGTACGTAACAGTACTCCGGTAATTCGTGAATTCACAGGTTTTCTCTTTTTCTAATATCTTACACTTACACCATTACTGGGTGAGTTTTGCAATCCACAATTCTGACTGTTCACCATGTAGACTGATGCAAGGATATGAAAATATCTGATTTGTGTCATAATACCTCATTCATTGATTTAGTAATTTTTAGACGTTGATAAGAAGCTCTTATTATGCAAATTTTTCAAGTATTGATCATTTAAATGTATTTGCAATAAAAGAAATATCTAAATGTAATTTCAGGCCAAGTGGCTTTCTTTCTCAAACAAAAGAATACAATCAAACTGAAACAACTGCTGATAACTTGACAAAGGAAGTGTCTAATATGAACATAAAATGTAGCAATGAAAAGTCTTTCAGTAAAGGGGATTATATTCTAAACATGGACAATGATTCCAAAGTTGATACTGGTGACGGAGAAGATGACTATTATTCCTCTGATGATGACTTGACAGATATTCCAGCAAACACAAATAGACCAACTATTGTATATGAAGAATCAACAAGTGATTCTGAAAGTGACCTCAGCTCAGTAGAGTAAAATTAGATCTGTCCAAATGATCAAAACATTGATATATACTAGTGTTATTTACATGCTATTTTCAGTCATCCCGTTTTCTGATTCTGACACTTTGTATATCTTTCAAAGTTGTTTCGAACTTATATCCGATGCCAACGTAGTTGTTTTGCTTGTTTTTGGTGCGAGGGATTTATCATATTGGTACTTTGAGATAATTATCTCTGGATGGGCCAATATTCAGAATCATTCCCCATTGTGCAATATAGCAAATGGTTAGTTGAGATAATCGCACTTCATTACTATGGTTCTATGCCTATAGGCTGGAATTTATTTATGTGCGAAATGTATAACATTGAAGTCTGGAAACTTTTTGGTTAGTTTCTGTGGGAGGTTGAGATGTGTATTTATTTACTTGAGCCCTACATTGTGAAATCTTTGACAACTAACTGTAGAGTGAAACATTACATCACTGGTGCGCTATTATGCATTTTAATACTATTTGCCAAAGTTGAAAAATAAAACAACTTGATGAGTTGAACTAAGATTTGACAAATGTGATACCACTTAAGTTTCCAGGTATTTTTGTAGAGTATGGCAAAACATTATACTTTGTAAATTTGACTTTATCTTGATTTGTTAATGCACTCTCTGATAAAGTCATATAGTGGGGTCCAAGCAGTTTGGATTAACTAGACCAAAAAATTCCAGATAATGACGCGAAGTTTATTTTAAAAAATATTGCAGAGCGACCAATTATTTGTCAAGAATTAGAGGTACGTCCATTGTTGCCAGTTAAATGCCGATTGACATTCAAATTTATGCAAAAGTTGAGGTAGCGTTTGTCGCTAAAAACGAAACACCGTCGATTGGGCTGGGAATTTTGGGGAAAACAACCCGACCGTTAACCGGGTAGAATTAAACGTATCATGTCGTTTAACGTAATAAGTTAAAATTTAGGCTTGTTTTTTGGTTTCAAAGCAATTTCGCAAGATTTTGTCCTGGTATCGATAAAAATTGTGCACGGTCATGATCATGACAGTTTCGTGGTCGCTTTACAGCAAGAGACATACAGCATACTTCGGACATGAGAGTATTTTCGCCGGAGGATCAATGCGAGGCGTTTTCGGTGAACCATCAGAAAGCGAAATTGTGACCCACAGGAATGGTGTAAAATTAATATATCCACATTTAAATATATTGCGGAAGTGGTGCAAAAATATGTGTGTATACCGTACGACGAGAAATATTGTAAAATTCAAAGCATTCATTACTACTTCCCGAAAATGGCGATATGGTAATATTATTGGATGGCATTGAATAGGCGCTTTTGAAACAAAACTAGGACAATATATCCACTTAAATTAGTTTTTTACATTTTCTTGTCGCTTACCAATTGGTTTAGTGATAGCTTTTGAATTAAACGCCACGGAAGATAAATTTGCGATGAACGAATAATTTTTGAAAAAATTGTTGAGTAGAAAGGTGATTATTACCTAACCTATGTCTGTTGGCGGTTAAAATAAATCGTATCCGTTAACCATCTGAAATCGGTTAACCATTCATGTTTTTTTAAAACTGTTCCTTGTCTCGCGGAAGAAAATGGATACAACAACCTACTTTGATGAATGAAGGAGGCCTGATAGAAATATTTGCAGCTCTGAAAAATTATATTTTTGCAGCGCTGTATCATACTAATATTACCTATAGCTCAATTCTGTTTTCTTTAGTAAACTTTTACAACATACAGCGAGAATAAAATTAATATAGATAATAATGTATGTGATTTAAAGTTTGAACGATACAAAAATAGGTATAGTCATCGATCAAAGTAGATGGTAGAATCTATATAACAATTCCAGACAGTTAACAAAAAAATTTTCTCATAGCCCACATAACGCTTATCCTTTAAGCGATCGAATATTAAAAGCTCATCATCGGTGTGTTGTTGAAAGAAACAAAAAACGACACATAACTTCTTTCCTGCAATAGGGTTAAATTCGTTTCAACGGTGAAAATGCGTCCTCTCTCTCCCTGCTGGATCACAGTTTACACACGTTTCAATTGCTGTCCTGTCATCCGAACCTTGTAGCAGTACATACTTTAATAACCACGGAGATAAGCGTCATTATCAGCACCAACTAACTGTGCAGGTCAAGATCAAAAACTCAGGGTCTCACCCATCCCACACCAGCCGAGAGGATTAATATCATTTTACCGCTCCGTGGCCGATAATAAGATGTTCGATCACTAGTATGTCAATAATTCAAAAGCCTGGAGTGGATACATTCTTTTAATCTTTTTCAGGTAGATCTGCATAATAATTTATGTAACCACTCCTGAAATTCTGCACACGAGATCGTTTCTAGAGCCTGACCAAATTTTGTTCAGCGCAATTGACTTGAGATCATTTCAGTCACGAGTATATGTACAAAACAAAGTGTGGACAAGATGGAAATCCGACGATTATAATATATTTACACACACAAGAATAGCATAAACATTTCACAAGAAAAAACCCACACACGTACTTCTACCCAAAATGAAGGAAGCACTTTATATTGAATAAAAAGGTGAAAACATTACTGATATACCGACTATTAATTAGTATCTTTCTGTAACAATCGGGATGGAACAAAACTTTATATAACCCTACCTTGAAATATGCTGGTGGATGAAAGTCATTTGATTTTTTATAAAAGTGAACAGTGAAAATCTAAAATTAAAAGGTACACTCTTCATGGTGTTCCCATAAAAATTTCCAGCATAACATATTTTGATTTAAATCTAGGTCAATTATCCACCAGTCATTTTAAATATTTATCACCACAAGTTATGACTGTACAATTATGACTCAATGACATACACAACACCAGTTATATCTGTACATGTTGTATATCATCATAAGATAGTGAGTAACACCAAATGGATTGACTTAACAATGAGCAACCTCTCCGCATTTAGTATCACTAAGTCAATAATTAACCATATTCTAAAATGTACTTTTTAACACACTGATTGCAATGTAACACCACACATTTTTTTTAAAAATAGGAGTGTGGTTAGAGGTCAGTATTTACAGTCATGCCTTTATTGGTGGTATAGTAACTTAACAATGTCACATTGACTTCTCTCTTACCAAAGTGTCAATTTCCAAATTAAACAACTTAACACCAAGCTATATACATTGTCCTTGACTGACACATAAAGGATTAAGTGCATACGTTAAAACATTTTACGGAACATCAAAAAAGAAAAATTATGAATATCATCATATACAATACAAGAAAAAAATATCATGTCCAACAAACAAATACATAAAGCTTACTTCACAGATAGGACCAGCAAGAATTATATAATTTTTTTGTGTGTGTTTTCAAAGAGAATTAAACTACGGTATGTCCAATTATTCAATATACAACAAAACAAAAGACAGATAAACTTCAGCTGATCAAAGTTGTATATTCTAGTATTACATACATTCATCATATAATGCCAAGCAAAACTAAAAATATTAGCGATAATCACAATTTACAAGTCTTAAAAAAAATTGATATGCAAGCGTAGTGCATGATGGAGTATCTAATCTACCTTATTGATAAATGATATACAATAGGGTTTAGACACTTATGCATAGTCTCTCTTCGTTTTCTTCAATTTCCTCATTTTGCCATTGCGTCTTTGGCGAGCTGACCCCGCTTTACCACGATCATTAGACATTGTCGGTGCGGTTGGAGCACAGACAGCACCTCCATCTTCTGAAATCACCTCTATAAGTGGGGGAGACCTAATGGGCTGACGATTGATCACTATAGAGCTGGACGCAGGCATATCGATCGGTACAGATTTAACTCTTCCAGAATCATCTGAGGACTGGTTCTTTGGACAAAGACCCATTGCCCCAAACCTTGCACTTGCCAAATGAAAATCATCGCTGGAGTCACTATCGCAACTGCTATCCCCATTATGTGAGATGATGGCATTTCTTTCGTGTGGATAACTCGATGAACCAATGTGAGGGTACTTAGACTCCCGTGCATGCTTCTGGAAGGTCTCAGTAACCGTTTCTGAAGGATATTTTGGAACATCAGATCGTGTCTTAATCACATTTACATCCCGAGAGTTGATTACAAACTCATTCAGCTGCTCCTTCAATGCCTGATTTTCATCCTGTAATCCACCATTATTTGACTTCAAAGTGACAATTTCTTGTTTGAGTGAAGTAACTTCTTCGGTCCATCTCTTGCTTGAAGTTCCATGAGTTTGCTTCAGTTCCTGATACATTTGTTTATATTTGCGATATTTGGAGCGATGAAACTGCATGCTCTCTTCCATTTTGTCGAGCCTGACTTTCAATTTGCTTGCCTGTGCCTGTTCTTCTGCATCTGGATCAGCAATTGCCATGAACAACTGTTCAAGTTTGGACATGAAATTTCCACCAGTTTCATCACCGGCCTCATTAGCTTGACCAGACAATTCTCCACTTCCCACAGAAGTCTGTGGGGCATTTTTCTGAATCAGACCATCTTGGGAATCACTAGATGCCGAATCTGGCTTTGCAGCCTTTGCTGGTGTTTTCTGTCCATGGATTTTTTTCATTTTCTTTTCCAGCTTATGACATTCCATATACTTTTCTGTATAAGCAGTAGCCCCCATTGAGAGACGCGTTCGAAGATCCTCAATCTGCATTTTCAATTCTTCGATGGTTCTATCTTTCGCGAGCAGATCATCATCTTTTTGTGAACTGGACACAGGGCTTTTTGGTTCAGTATTAGTTCCGCCAAGGGTCTGTGTACTGATTTCCAATTTGTCATTATCCGCCGAGGCAGCAGTGGCCACAGCCATGTCTGCACTTTCCAAATGTGACTTTAAGATTGATATCTCCTCTTTCAAGTTTTCCTCCATTTGTTTAGCTTTTAATTTCTCATCTGTGATGTTGCACATACTCTCTGCCAACTTCTGTTCAGCATCTTCTGCTTTCTCCTTCATGTCATAGAAATTATTTTCAAATTCATTGAGTTGTCTTTGTGTCGATTCCAGTTGTCGAGTCACATTGTCCCGTTCTTGTTTCACTTGGTGAAGTTCTGACATTAATTTGTCTCTGCAATCACGAGCTTCAGTCAACTCTGTGGAAATGAGACGTTTTGAAGCTTCACATGCATTTAGCTTATCTTCAATATTACCAAGCTCACTTTCAGCTGTAGATTTTTGAAGAACGGAAAGTTTGTTGGATTCTTTCAACTCATTTCGTAGCATTTTAGCTTTTTCTTCAAGTGCCAATAACTTCTGATTTTTCTCAATGATTTCTTCATTTTTGGCTTGAATTTCGTTTTTCAATTTTGCCATGTTCTGCATGATATCACGTCGAGCTTCTTCAGAATGTGCGAACTGATCTTTGAATAAATCTCTTTCTTCCTTATATCTGACAGCCTTCAACTCAGCCTCCTCCTGCTCTTTTTTAATTTTATCCATAGACTCTTGAGCTTGTGTGTTTGATTGCGAATTTTTCTGCTGCAAATCATCCGATTTGAGCTCTAATTTCCGCAATTTGTCCTTCATTTCTTGCATCAAACCATCAGATTCAACAAGTTTTTGATCTTTAGAATGAATTTGCTCATTCAGTGATGAAATTTCTTCCTTGTGACTCGTATAAGCCTTTTCGAGATTTTCTTTCATTCCCAATGTTTCTTTTGTCAGTTTCGCAATTGCAAATGCAGCGCCATCCAGTTCAGCCTTTTGTTTTGCCAGTTTTACGTTTGCTTGTTCAATTTCTGAATTCAAAGTTTTCAGTGATTCCTTCAAATTGTCAATCTCCTCTTCTAGTTCTTTACAATGTTTTTCTTGATCCTCATTAGCTTTCTTTGACGATGCCAATTCATCTTGAACTTTAGCCAAATCGCTCAACAATGCTTCTTTCTCATTTGTCAACTCATTGATTTTGCCTTCCAACTTTTCTTTCTGGGATGTTATGCGTTCAACTTGCTCCTGTAGAGCAGCCGTCTTTGTTTTTAGGACAATCATACCAGTTTCATCCTCAACTTCCACAAGCTGATCTCCATCTGTCAAATTGCGAAATTGAAAAGGGGTACTGGCACCATGAATGTTTCCTTGCTTTGATACATAGCAAAACTGATAAAACTCATTTTCATCATTAGGCAAGTAATAAGCTGTGAACTCAACAGTTACGCTTCTGTCTTTTGCATCGTTTGACAATTTTGGAGCCCACACGAATGTGCAATATTCTCTTGCAGTTGTCCATCCAACTTTGAAAAGTCCAATCCAATCTCTTGAAGATGGCTCAAGAGAAGACGCGAGGACGTAGCTGACACGAACATTTTTGCCAGGAGGAAAATAGTCTGAAATATCAGGAAATACCACCTGGGAAAAGCTGCTTGAAATGTCCTTTGAAACAGCAGAGTCTGGTATATGTGGCACATCAGATGACATTTCATCACATGTTGCCATCGCAATATGTAAAACTAAATATGGTCAAATCTGGTAAAAAAAAAAACACAAGAATTTTTTTAATTAAATTCAACAAAGTGAGTATCTTTTCCCTGTATTAACACTTTCAAACTTTAGAATGTTGAATTCAAAACAAATTCAAAATCAATCAAAAATAGAATCAATAATCCTAATTTTACTGTCTTAACAGGTTAATGAGAAGGTAAACAAGATTCCTAATTCTGACAATTGAATACAGAAATAAAAGTCTTGATATATTTCACAGTTTAAATGCACGAAAAATCTTTTATTTGCTCATACAGCTTGTTTATCTATTTCAGTACTGGTATTTCAGAAGAATGGTTGACTACGATAAAAATCGTATAAATGGATCAAAATATGCAGTGATATGAATCCCCAAGTAAAATGCTATGCTAAATAATATGGTAATTAGTTTAGCAAACAATTTTCTTGAAAACTTCAAACATGCTCATCAATTGGACTACTGGAATATAACATAAGTAATTGTACTGTACTATTTGGGCGTTTCCTCTTCCCCGGGACAAAAATGTCAATCCTATCCTGAACTCCATTCAGCCAGTGACAGAGTGATATCACGGATAACTCACAAATATGTCGGGTATTTAATGATGTTTTTTTTTCAGAAATATTTGAGAATATAGGTAATCTTTATGTTATTCTCCACATTACGTACTCTGCTATCAGGCTATCAACAACATTCGCCTCACAATATTGAAACCTACCTGTACTACAGTCAGACACTACCATAGCAGGTAAAGTTGAAAGTATACCAATACAGCAATACTGTAATCATGTTTCAACCAGAATACTGCAATAATAATCTCTGTCTGTCTGTATCCACAGATCCAGATACTGAGATAGCTGCCAAATCAAATTGCTTGCCTCATTTCAATGACAAAATACCGGTATAGAACTGTGGATTTATCCTAACCGAAAGCAAACGTGCGGTACGGTACCGCATGCTGGTATGGTACCGGGGTACCGTACTAATGGGAAATTCTGACAGACTGAAGTAATTTCCCTCACGAGAAAATTAATTAAAAAAAATATTTATTGCCATTGCAAAATTTGAATTAGGCCTAGCGGCGAGTACCGGTAAACACAGAAACACAAAAACAGCATTTGCATCAACAAAATTAAATGTATAACGTTAAATGTGCAACAACAGAACACAAGGACGAAAGTAGTCTGGTGATGACTCTGACAACACAATTTCCACTGACATAACGCCTACCCTAGCAATGAGGTCGTGGGGGAAAGAACTAAGATAATAACCAGCTAATCCTCATCAGCGATCCTCTAAAATTAAACCCAGAGTAGCACCGGGTATGCCCCCGAGGACGCCAGTATGGCGCAAGAAGAAGGCAAAAACAAAAACACTTCCGCGAATCATGTGACCAAGTTCTTTTATTTACATACGTCTGTCCTTCTCTTTGTTGTTCCCGTGACGTCATTCAAATGTAATGTACGGAGTCGCTATCCGATAAAATTTGGACGTTTCGTTCAAAGCAATATTTTAGGACAATGTGGGATTTTGATATTCATCCCGATCGATAGGGAAGACGGTTTAATCATATGGCGGATCAAGGTTACCCTGTTACCAGTCTGAGGCTGGATTTCAAATTTGCCAAGATTGGCTGACTCCTGGCGGGCATCTATATTCTATTTTGAAACCTTATTCATTTTTAAATCGATTCTTAATTGTAAAGTCGTTCCAAAATAAAACGGTATACCTGATATTTGTTTAATTTTGTAATTGAGTTGATAATTTGGTAATATTTCGTATTTCTCCGAACCTTTTTTATCGCGAATTCGTTTATTTAAAAAGATGATATGTAAATTTCATTTATCAGTAATCGGGTCATACTCCCCGCCCCTCCACATCTTCCGACTAAAATTATGTTTTGCGTGTTATTTGTCAGTTTTCAGTTGTGTTTCCAAAAATTAGTTGTAAATCAATTAACTTGATTATCATTATGTTTTTCAAGAACCTTTAGTTTAGGTGGCGCGGCGGTGTGGCTTAACGGGCTAAGCGTTAGGAATACGCTCGCCACCGCACCTCTAATTACTCTGCGTGGGTACGCAGGTTCGAACCCCATGCAGGGATGGTTATGTGAGAGAGGATTGCTGGACTCCTCGCCGTCGTTGGGTGGTTCACGTAACCGCTGGTCGGTTACGGCTTCCTCCACCACCAAGTCCATGCTTCCGAAAACGAACAATATAACTAATCCCATACCCGACTTGGAATGGTAACCGGACGAGGGGCCGTGGTTCGCCATATGGATAAGCCGTCTTATCGGTTTTCCTCTCCCCGGGTATAAATATGTAAATCCTAAGGTGCAATAATTAAAAATTGATACCGCAAACCAATGAGCAACTGCGAAAGACTAGCCTGAAATTAGCTATCAGGTCCGGTCATCCGGCACCGTACGGTACCTGTGAGCAGCACTTGGTTTAATGTTTTAAATAAAAATGATAGATAACTAACTCCCCAAAACTATAAAACACTCAAAATAAGCGTTTAAAATTTTGTAGTGGTCGAGTATAAGAATAATTTTTTTAGAGGTCAAGGGTCGGGGAAACCGACCATATGATAACTATTGAAAAATGAATTGCTTTCTTTATGCTGAAAATGTACATACCTTACATTTATTTGGACTTCTCCATATTGTAAAATGTATTTTCAACTAGGTGCTTATTAGCATGTAAGAAGGTACCGATAGTGAATCTTGTCGACTTATCTTCACCCAGGAAAAATATATAAATCCTATCCTCATTTAAATTGACAGATTTTTAAAAGTTCCGAGCTAATTCAATAATTACGGTACAACTGCAGTGAGTGTTCAAGTGTTGGGTACGGTAATTGCGTAATTTGTCAAATGGGTGTTCCAGCATTTTTTCGATGGTTGAGTAAAAAGTATTCCTCAATCATCGTTCATTGCAATGAAGAGAAGGTGAATAAGTTTGAATAGGCCTAGGCTATTTATTTTCTATAAAAACACGTGAAAGTTTCGATTAATAGTGTATACCTTGTACTGTTATAACATTTTGTCCACTCTGGCAGACTGGGGTGTACTGCTGTAATACAGTAATATAAGCATTGTCATAAAATTAGCCGATATGAATTAAAATACTGCAGTACTGGAAGTACTGTAAGTACTGCTGTTGGCGCGGCGATGTGGCTCAACGGGCTAAGCGTTAGGAATACGCTAGCCACCACACCTCTAATTACTCTGCGTGGGTTCGCAGGTTCGAATCCCATGCAGGGATGGTTATGTGCGAGAGGATTGCTGGACTCCTCGCCGTCGTTGGGTGGTTCACGGAACCGCTGGTCGGTTACGGCTTCCTCCACCACCAAGTCCATGCTTCCGAAAACAAACAATACAGTAAAAACTAATCCCATACCCGACTTGAAATGGTAACCGGACGAGAGGCCGTGGTTCGCCATATGGATAAGCCGTCTTATCGGATAAATATGTAAATCCTATCCTATCCTAATACAGTAATATAAGCATTGTCATAAAATTAGCCCATATGAATTAAAATACTGCAGTACTGCCTGATGAGGACTTTGTTTTTTTGATTAAATATATTTTCAGAAAAAAGAAATCAATGGAGTGGAAATTCCTGTTGACACAAGTTCACCAAACCCGAATGATGTAGAATTTGACAACTTATATCTTGATATGAATGGAATCATACATCCGTGCAGTCATCCAGAAGATCGGTAATCTTTAACAATGATAATCTGAATAAAAAATATTTTTGAGTTTTATAATTAATAATATTTTTATTTTTATAAGTTCTGTAAGTCAAATTTTGGCATATACTTGGTCAACATTGTGGGATGGGTTTTTCAAGTAGGTACGAGTTGTCAAATTTCTTGTACGTCTGATACTGATATTTATTATAAATTTATGAAGACATTGTTTTTCTTTAGTATTAATTTTCTCTTTGTCCATTCTCTGAAATATACTCGTATACAATATATTTACATTTTTATTTAATAGTTGTTACTTTACATTTAATCAACATAATGTCAATTATTATTTATATTTCCGATCTGATATGTGCATGTAACCAGTATTCAATTATTTTCAGACCGGCACCCAAAAATGAAGTTGAGATTATGTTTGCTATTTTTGATGCAATTGACAGAATATTTGGTATTGTTCGACCGAGACGTTTGTTATATATGGCTATTGATGGTGTTGTAAGTTTTAGTTTAATTTAAATCAATACGTATTGTAAACAGCCTACTGGTTGTCTACTGGTACCATATGTAAAACTAGCACTTTTTTTATTTCTATGTATATCATGGATGCTGTGCCCAAATGACTGGTTATATAAAATCGAGTCAAAAGCCTTAATGACTCCATTGGTCCTTCATACTTACATTTCAATATTTTTCAAGGGTACATGAATTTGCTTCGAAAAATATATATTAATAACAAACAAATAGCATTTGTATCTCTACCTCGAGGCGAGAAATAATTTTTTCCTACTGATTTGTCAAAATTTGGGTATGGTCTTTCGTAAAATAGAATTGTCTCCTGATTGGTTATGTAGGTAACTAAATACCACACAATTCTAATCATCTAGGCACCTCGGGCAAAAATGAATCAACAAAGGTCGAGAAGATTCAGAGCTTCCAAAGAATCAGCGTGAGTAATTCAAATTAGTATGACATTTAAAGGCAGTTGTTTTCAGCTTTTGTTGATTTTAAGAGGGCGTTCATGGGCACATTTTAGGTGGTTGCTTATATAGTGCTATGATTTAACCCTTATTATATAAGTGAACAGAATTACCATTTCTCAACAAAAATGGGTGGAATGAAACAAGACACGAAGTGAAATCTCTTTATGTGACATGGATATTTTTTTCAATTATCGGTAATATTCATTTTTTCATGATTCCTTGTAACATTTTTCTGAAGTGAAGCCAAAGATTTGAAAGAAGAAATAATTTCTGAATTGAAAGAAAGAGGAGCAACACTTCCAGAAGATGACCCCAAAAAAGAAAGATTTGATAGTAATTGTATTACTCCTGTAAGTATATGCTTCATCTATTTAAAATCCGCTTGTCGATATAGAAGAAATTCTTTTATGCACTCATATATTAATCTTTAGACACAAATAAAACCTGTAATATACAAAACTCATTTCTTAAGGTATATTGTGTGTTTGAAATTAATTCAGCCCAAAAGGGTGGACTTCTTGTCTCACAACATTAAAATGCTTTTCACACACTTGATGTAAATTATTCCACCATATGCATGAAGACCAACGACTGCGACTGCGAAACTCAATGCGTTCTAAAATTTATACTTTGTTTTTATCCTTGTTTTTATTTTTTTAAGTAAAAATATAATGGGGGATTGAAATATTTTCAGGGTACAGAATTTATGTTTCGTCTTGCTGCCTGTCTACGATTCTACATTCAAGATAGAATTAACAATGATCCTGGTTGGAAAAACATAGAAGTAAATATTTTTGAATCAGCAAAATGTTATTACAGAAATTTAAAATATTGTCCTGTAAATAAGCTTTTCCTGATAGTATGGTAGTTGTTTAACCACTGTTTCAAACTATTATAATTTCATGAAAAATCATGAATTTTTTAACAAAACAAACAGGAATTTTTGACAAATTTTAAATAAGTTGGCAGGGCTTAAAAAGTTTGACGACCACTGTTCTAAATTGATAAATTTGTAATTTCGAAACTCACATGGAAACCTTCATATGGCAAAATATTATGTCTTGTTATTTAACAACATTCATATTAAAATTTCAGGTTATTTTATCTGATGCAAATGTACCAGGTGAAGGTGAACATAAAATAATGGATTTTATTCGACGACAAAGAGGACGAGAGTGTCATGATCCCAACACACATCACTGCATTTGTGGTGCTGATGCCGATTTGATTATGTTAGGTACGTTTGGGAAAATTAACATTGTATAACACCATTACTGATATCTTAGCTATCCTTTTCAAAGATTTTGCTGCATTATTTTTAAAAATTCAAAAGTAGATTGTTCAAATTTCAAAGAAATTTTTTTAAATTTTTGTGGTTACATACTCATTTAGAGCATATTACATTCTTTGATTTTGAATGCTCAGTATTGCACTTTATCTTCCGGTAAATGATAAGCAGTGATGGCGTTAAGCTCTCAACCGAATTACTGTCCCAAATACACCCTGAAACAGTTCAATCAGGTAACATCAATAATTATTCAGTTTATCAAAATCCACCATAATAGGAGTTAGCTTTAACAATGTTATCGTAGTGAGGCGTATACAAATAATTATACATATGGCATGTGTGATATGATTTGAAATTTAAAGCCTTCTTGCCTGTGAAGAATGGAGAATTGAAAACATATTTGGCTATTCTATTTAATTTTAACATCACTGGTGCTTCTCTGCATTATGAGATAGTCTCACTTGTTCAGATTAAGATTTATAAAATCAAAACTTGTGTAAAATATAAAAAATTTTGACTGTGTGAGTACTGTGAAATTATACGGGTATATTTGATTTCATATGTGTTCTATTATTTATCTGTTTCAAATTCTAATAGCAACACTTTTTGGACATTACCAGATTAAAATAGTGGTCTCAGCTGGATTTAATGCTTGAATAATTATCCAATTGCAGGTCTTGCTACACATGAACCATATTTCACAATTATTCGTGAAGAATTCAAACCTAACCAACCAAGACCTTGTGGAATTTGTTCTCAATATGGACACGAAATGGAAGATTGTTGTGGACTTCCCAGAGAAAAGCAAGGAGAACATGATGAATTACAAAAAACTCCAGTCGTCACTACAGATTATATTTTTATCCGATTAAACGTTGTACGAGAGGTATGAAATCTTGTCACTTGATAGCCATCAATGACATGAATAAAAACCATCAGTTACACTGGTATAAGTAATGATTTTTAGCAGCCATTGGACCATCAAAAGATAAGGAGTTCGAATATAACATTTTAGCGCTCCAGAATCCTCGAATTTTCCAATTTCCATATTTTCACAGATGTCTATATATTCAATTTTCACATTGCATACATGTATTTATTTTTATCTTTTCATTCCAAAGAAAATTTTACAAATGGCTTCTGATATGTATCATAAACTATTTTCGGAAGGTCGAACGTGGTTTGAACCCAAATATTACAAAAACATATTATTGTGTATTTTGAACAGTTGTCAACTGCTCTCATGAATTGTGGTTTTGCCAGCATTTCTTTGGACTCTATAAATGTATTTTTATATTATAGTATCTGGCGAGAGAGATGGCGATGCCTGGACTCCCATTCAAGTTTGATTTAGAAAATGTTTTAGATGATTGGGTTATGATGTGCTTCTTTGTTGGTAATGATTTTCTACCTCATTTACCATCGCTTGAAATCAGAGAAGGTGCAATCGATAAACTAGTGCGTCTATACAAGGACATTGTACATAGAACTGGGGTAATTTTTTTTTATTATTTTCAATTTTTGTGCTGTTTAAACTCAAGAGGCTGATTATCTAATATGTATATATTGTGAGGTTTTCTTTCACATTCTTCATAGATGAGATCATGGCTCCGACTGAGCACTCTGATATGAAGGCAATAATAACAGTATTTCAGAATTTCACAACCTGCTCAATTTACAATTATTGGAATCTGACAGTATTCAGCAGGATAATTTTATTTCAAATTTTCAGGGATATCTCACAAAAAATGGAATTGTGAATCTTGGAAGAGTGGAGAAAATAATGCGAGGAATTGGTGAAATGGAAGATGAGATTTTTCGAAGAAGACGACAAAATGATGTCAATTTCAGAGAAAGAGAGGTGAATTTGAAAAATTATCAAATCATTTAAAATAGAAAGTGGATAAATTATATTTCCAAGCTTCTATCAGTTTTTTTTAAACTCAAGCATTATCCTGAAACATTTTGAAACAGATATTCATGATTTTGTATAGAAAAAGTTATAGAGGTCTTAAGTCTCCAATTCCAAACCTTGGTATATTTAACTGCATGAACAGCAAACTTAATTCAAAATCTGTTGTAAAACAGTTCATAAAAATTGGATACTATTTGTTAAAACAATTGTAAACCCACAAAATGTTTGTGGGTGGATAGTAGACACAGAAACCTTTTTAGAAAGCAAAAAGAAAAAGAAACAATTCAGAGAAACCTGCATACATACCAGGTGGTCAATTTGAACCGACGCCACTGGGCCGTGGACAACAACCTGCTGCGATAAGAAATGTCAGACAGACTGCTTATGAAATGAGAACACAGGATTTAAAGAATAGGGTGAGGAAATGTTTTTTTTTCATTTTTTTTGGGGATTTCTAGAATTTATAGGATTCAAATGAATTTTGAATTTACTCAAGGGTCAGGAACCTGTGTAAAGATGTGACCCTTGTTTACATATAACCAAAATGAAACCTTGAACCTGGTTCTCACTGCGACCAATTTTGTTACTTTAGGTTACTCCTTAGAATGGTGTTGTGGACAATTGAGTCTGTAGTTCTCATCCTTTTTTGATATATTCCTCACATTGTCTATTTTGGATCTCTTCACCTCTCCCTCACTTTGTGTATTTCTGTTATTTGTTCAATTTTCCCCAAAAAAGCTTAGCTAATGCCTCTCGCAACTTGCATGCTGGCTTATGCATAGTTTGAATAGTCTATATTGTGTGCATATATATGTATTACATTAATACTGAATAACTAAACAATATTACTGGAACTACATCAAATACAATGAAATATTTCAACATTTTCCTCCCCAAAACAACAAAATTCCTTTCTATGAAGGAATTCCTTACCAATCGCGAAATGCTGAATTATATGAAATAAAACTGATTAACGATTATCATATATTGTCATTATAGGATGCAGCTTCAGCTCTACGTTCTATGCTGAAAGAAGTTCCTGATGGAGAAGCAGCATCATCATCATCATCTATCTCAAGTACATCTAAACTTGCAAAGAAAAGGAAGGTTGTTTTGAAATTATCAATTTGTTCTTTTTGACACTATTCATAGCTCTCCTAAAAACTTTTATCATTCAATGGATTGTTGTTGATTAAGGCATTCAATCACAGTATACTTTTGTATTTGAATATTTCAATTCAGTCTATCATTAGAAATCAAGGATATATAATCCAAGAAATCTATACTTGATTCCCAAACAACGAATCATTTTGAATTCCTCCTTGACAAAATTTCGACTGCTGTTCCAAGTTGAAGAAAATTTCGGCGATGCCTCCACCACCCAACTCTGTGAAAACTAAATTTTGACCACAAAAATATGGTGTATGTACAATTAGCTTCGGGTAATTTTATGTTGAGAATGATTAGTCCACTTATTGCTCTTGTAATTTGCGTCTGAATTTAAACTTGAATTACCACCATCAGAAAAGTTGAAGGTTTGAATCCAGTGGGCCGTGGGGTATAAATATGTGTGAGAGGATTGCCATAGGGTGATGGTTCACACAATCACTGGTCAGTTACGCTCCCCCCATGAAGTCAATGCATCTGAAAAAAATAATAATTAGCCACATACATGGACATGGAGTGATAATTTGATGAGATGCCATGGTATGATTAACCCTCCCTCGTATAATTATGAAATTCCATCCAACATTCTGACGTTTGGTTCTACAACTCCAGAGTATTCCAAATTTCTACTCTGGCTCTGAATTTGGAGCAGTTTCAGAATGACACCGACTCTTCTATATTATTGGAAACATTAATTACTTTTCCCTACTTTACAGCTATTATAGAAATATACGGTAATTTTCATGTAATAAACACTGAAGCAAAATGTGTTTTTCAGATGAAAGACGAAGAAGATGATGAACCACAGGATGATGTTAGGTTATGGGAAGAAGGATGGAAAGATAGATATTACAGAACTAAATTTAATGTTTCTTTGAAAGTAAGTGAATTCATGATTTACTATTACTTAGCCCAAGATATTTAACAAAACAAAATATTAAGTTGGCAATTCATGTAAAATGAAAGGAGCAAAAAGAAGCTCAAAATAATGATAATGATAAGAAAAATATTTTGCTGTTTTAAACTGGGTTTATAAAACTGATTGCTAATTTAAATTTCAAAAATTGTAATTACCTAGGTGTGGCCGCTTTTCAGACTTGTCTTTGGAATAAAAATGTGAAACACAGTTAATAAAAAAAATACTGAATATTCCACATGCTATAGTGCAAAACAGTAAAAGTTTTCACCCATCCACTCCTTAGTGCACATTAGTCACAATATCGACGAATAATTTAATGCAAAAAGGTCTAATCTATTTTATCTTCTCGTATCAGCCCGGGGTAGCAAGAGGCACATAATATACTATTGGATATTCGAATAGGGATTGGAAATATTTACAGTGTGAACCAAAAAACATATCGCATACCGGTAATTGAAGAAACTTTATTTAACACTTGTATACCTTAACTTCTGTAGAATATGTTCTAAATGACCTGTGTTTTGTTTTTGGGGTCACGATGTAAATATCCCTATTTCTAACTTCGTATATGGACATTACTGATGTTGTTCTGAAAATTTATTATTATATGTATTGTTTTTATTCCACATAGGATTATGAATTTCGGCGTCGTGTTGTCAGATCTTATGTTGAAGGTTTATGCTGGGTTTTGTCTTATTATTATCAAGGTGAGGGTAATCATTTTTTTCTTTAGTCGAAATGCTGAATTTTCTGAAGTCAGAATTTTAGATTTTTCATAATGCTACTAATCAAAGACAAAGTTTTTTGTTATCAAAATTTAGTTTCGTCAGCTTGTGGTTTGCCATCTGGAAAATATTAATAGCTTTATGGTTTTAAATATGGATTATTTTATTCCAGGTTGTGCGTCATGGAAATGGTTTTTCCCCTTTCACTATGCACCTTTTGCATCTGATTTTGTTGATATTGAATCTGTTCCAAACACATTTCCAACGACCACAAAAGCTAAAAATCCATTGGAACAACTAATGTGTGTATTCCCAGCTGCTAGTGGAAATTTTTTACCTGATTCGTGGCGTGAATTAATGTATAGCCCAGTGAGTATAAAAAAATCACTCAATCAATCATTTTTGTACTCATTACAGCGGCTGTTTAGAGCAAAAGTAGATAAATTTGCCATATAAAAAATTGTCTACTGGCAGTATCAATAAAATTCATTTGGAATGAAATATTGATAGATACTTATTGTAGCTTTGACAAATCACTGATAGAAACTTGCAGAACTACTTAAAAGAAAAGGATCTATAATTTATTCGAAATTTGAGTAGCGGACTATGCATTCACAGTGTTAGTATTTGTGCAGCGTATACTCAAGGGCATTGCCCCAAAAGGACGAAACCTGAAAAAGCTGTTTTAATAAGAAAATGAGGAAAATGTATATTTTGGATTTATAAACCCACCATAATTTTGAAAAAAAAATTTTAAGAAACAAAATTCTTAATTTTACTGCACTCTGGTGGTCTCATGTGTGGAGCCTCAGTGCAAAGTGATATGATTATATCTCATATTTGGTCATGTTCATTTGTACAGGATTCGCCTATTATAGACTTCTATCCAAACGACTTTAAGATAGATCTTAATGGTAAAAAATATGCATGGCAAGGAGTTGCTCTTCTTCCATTTGTTGATGAAGATAGGATGATGGAAACACTTGACACTGTTTATCCTAACCTTACACCAGCAGAAAGTGAGTTACATATATTGTATTGAGTGAAATATGGTCATAACTCAAAGTACATTTTCTTACAGTAGGCTACCTGCCCGAAACAGTGCTTTCGAATCTAGGTTATATACACTCGGTTGGACATATGCAAGATACTGGAGGATTAGATGATCCCAAAAGTTTGATATTCAAAATTTATTCTGGAATAGTAGATTTAAAATTTTCAAGACCCGTGGCCCTCTTCCAAAGACTCAACATTTTGGCTTACTCGCTCTTTTGTGAGAGTATTAAGTTTCGCTTACTGCGTATTTCCATCACAGTTATTTTTATTTTATGCTCCACTGTAATATAAAAAGACAACAAAGAAGAAGATATACATTACAGTCAATGTATCAAACAAATCACAATCAATTAAATTGGACCTTGTGATTTCCTTTGCCCGTGGACCCCTGGGGGAAACGATGGCTCATTTTGAAAAACTCTGTATGAGCAATTGATTTTACTTTGATTAAATTTGCTATAAAGTCAAATCAAATTTGGAGTAGAGAAGCAGCAATTTCGATTATTTGGTTTCCCTGAATAACATGTTTTATATGAAACAATTTTTGAATTTTATCTAACCCGAATGCCAACACCTACCTAATGATACTTTCAGTTTCCTTTTTTTTTTAAGGAGTGGAGTATAAAAGTGATGAATTAATAATATCCATCTGTATCTTCATCGTACACAGCTTGAACTTCTGGCTCGGCAGTTGGGGCCTCGTGCTAACTGCTAAGCATTACACTTGACAACGCACTTCTGATTACCCTACGCGAATTCGAATTGTGTGGGGGTAATTATATTTGTGATTAGTTAGCTTCTCGTTGTCGCAGGGTGGTTCTCCATATGATTGAGCTGTTCTTTCGGCTTTAGTTCCATCAGGTATAAATGTAAAAATCCTAATTCTTATTAATTGATCGATTCTAATAGGCAAAAGGAATGAACTTGGAAATGACAGAATATTTGTTGGACAACACCATCCTCTACATTCATATCTGAAAGGATTATATGAGGGTCAGTGTGCACAAGATGAAGAAAATGCTGCAGAAATTGATCCCAAATTAGCAAAAGGAATGTCTGGAACAGTTTGGGCCGATGAATTCTGTAATCCTGATTCTAAGTGAGTGCGAAGTGTTAAGACTTAAATATGATGGCATCGCCGGTTAAAATCTCAGAATCAAATCTCATGCCACCCCACCACATCACTAGGGTTCAATGACTTAGATGGGAAATGCCGAAGTGGAAAGATTTTGTTCCTTCCAAACTATAGCTTCTTACCTTGTGCTCATAAAAACATTGTGTAAAAACACTGATAGTGTGTACCACGTCCACCACCATACTTTATCATTATTTTATAGATTTCTCGAATCTCCTCTTGAAGGTCTAGAATCATTGAAATGTAACAATGTATTATCAATGTGTTATAAAGATCCTCAATATCCTGAAGGACATATTTTTGAAGCCAAATTACTGCCTGGTGCCAAGTAAGTTATTATGAACTTTTTAGTTTACTTAAAAGGAAATCAAATACACTGAGAAAGATAAATGTTATGATGGTCCTATAATAAAATACAAATGTAATATTTATCTGGCTAGAGGTAAGCTTGTGGTTATTGTAAAAAGGGTAAATGATCCGCAAGAACAGCTCACAAAATTTTGTGGGGTTATGAACTCATGCATAAGTTGAAAATAAGGCCTTTATATATTGAAAGGGTCTGAACATCGCTCCCATCTTTATCGTTGCAACTATTTGTTTTTGTTATAGATAGCAGTATAGAATTTTCATTAAAGAATTATCATAATAATTATAATGAAAAACTTTAATAGGGTGCAAAAAGTCAATAAGGAAGCTTAGTTGTCCAACGAGGCACAGTCTCTCACCCAGTTACCAATCCTGTTTCATGCATGGGAACAAGTACCCAGTTATTTGTTCAGATGCATGGAAGGTGACATAGTTGCACAAAGTTATTTTCCACACGATTTGAACCCAAAATATGATCCAACATATAATTAAGCCGTCTTATCGTCTTCCCCCTACCCCCTGTAAATACAATCCTATCTTAAAAATTATTTTATTTCCCGCCACAGAATTCCTGCCCCTTCGGTCAAACCTGAAGACTGGGATAGATATAATCCAAATCAAGGATGGAAACCAAGAATTGGTTTCAACCCAAACCGAACTAACCGTGCACAGTTGGATGCTTCTGGCCATCGTCATTTGCAACATAATTTACCGAGACAACGTTTTCCACCTCCTGATAACTATGGAAGACAACAACGTGGTGGTTACCAAGGAAACAGTTAGTGTTATAAATGTTTATATAAAAAAAAATTAGTAGTAGAATGACAGTTACCATTTTTTCACACAATTTGTGAAGTTAGAACAATTTTTACAGAATTATACCACCATAGTTGAAGTCGCACACAGACATGAAGTAGGGGGTGTTGACTAAAAATATTTTTGTGTATGTGCATATTGGGAAATTAATTCATGGTATACTCGTGGATAAACATTGAACTGTGTTAATTTACAGTAGTAATTTCAGGAAAAAATTTGTCGACATTTTGCTATATACTGTTTTAATTAGGAGAATACATTTCTTCCGAATTTTTCATGGCTTAGTGCTCAAAGCCTAGACTTAAAGCTTGACCATCACAGGTCAAAATCTCGGGTCCAAATCCTATGCCTACCGCCTCACTAAAGGTGTAACAAGTTGGGTAGCAATGTTAAATCGGGATGATTCTTGTTTTTCCAAAAATGAAGTAACCCCTTCGGAGTGAAAGGCGTAGAAATTCGTATCTCATTTTTCAGGAAATCAGGGACATTATGCCTGGGGTTCTGGGAATCATAGAGAAAGAAACGGACAAAATTCCTATCATAATCAGGGACAATCATATGGTAGAGGTGGACGTGGATCCCATGGTGGATATGATTATCACCAACAGGTATATACATATATATTTAAGCAGGAGGTTTAACGGACCATCGCTTCTATACCAATCTTAAGTTAAAAAACAGAGCACAATCTATGCCATGAAATCAGAAAAGCTTTATTGAAATCCAATATTGAAACACTGTAATGATCATAAAATAAACGATGATAGGATGAAAACACTCAAATGATATTTTGTTTTTATGTGGTGATTTGCAATTGTTTATTGGTTGAAGGCTGATAATCTATCGATAAATCAAACTTTAGAATAGATACAAAATTGATTATCTGGTGAATTCAACACTGCATCTTGAAATACAGGGTAGCCAAATAAACAGGACCTGGGTCATTTGGAAAATATTCTAGAAAGTAGATAACTTTTGGTGCGAAGATTCTTAGATTACTTTAACTTTTGGGTATTATCATACACAAACGAAAGTGTTACATCAATTTTCTTCATTTTCATAGAAGTAATCTAGAATTTATGGATTCTGTTTTTGAGTCTTCCTTCAGGTTATTTCTGGCGTACTAGTTCTGTGCGAGTCTTATTCCATGCCATGCACCTCCCACAACAGAACTTACTTTATAACAGGGAATGCTTTTTCTCAGTTTTTTGTTTACAATTTGTATCACAGAGGCAAAGAGGGTACGATCAACATCGCCATCAAGGACCGATGCGTGGTGGACCCAGACATCAACACTATCAGCCATATCCCAGTAGAGGTGGATATTCACAGTATGGCAGATATTGAAAAATTCCTCAGATAAACTCAAAGTGGCCTCAAATTCAAAATATTGTTCCTGTGCATAGGATAGTTCGAAACAGATGAATTTTCCAGCTTTGTGCGTTTTTATCATCTGATTTTTGTCTCAAATTGATCTTGTTACAATTTTTTGGTAAATGATGATATAAAATAAAATGAATAATCTGAGATTTTTCCTTTCGATAATCAGATTGCCACCGTCCCACATCTTGTTACACTGCATGGTATTAGTTGTCAAATTTTGGGGAAAATGAGATGGATAGATTTATTGATTCGTCAACCAAAAACGTAAAAGCAAAAATACAATTGAACAGACCAATGTTTTTTGTAAAGACTGATACGACCATTCGATTATCGAGTTTGTTCACCCAACCCAAATTATGTGTGGTAGAAATGCTGAACCCTCCTTGTTCTACGTTGTCACGCTGTCCTGTTAAAGCTCTTCTCACCATTACACTATCTGCGTTGCCATTTTCCTCTTTGTGAGTAAGAAAACTTTTGTGGCAGTTAGAAACAACTCCCGGCTACCTGTTCAGATATGGAAATAGCTGACCAATGTATTGTTGCTTATTCGTGGAGTTTGTTGTGGAGGAAGAAGTCACCAACGTCACGTAAACCACCCTATGGCACTGAGAAGTTCCGTAATTATCCCACACGGGACGCAACGAGCTGAGGTGGCGGTGACAAGCGTCTTCGTAATAATTTCGCAGTGTATCATCCGTCGAGACCATTGCGCACAAAGATGTGAGTTTTGTTAGAAGTGCAGTCAGAGTTGCCAAGTTTGTTTTCAACTCCTATAGTACGTTAGTTGTGTATGTACAGAGGCAGTTTTAGTATTTCATTTCTGACAAACTACTTTATGCAAACGCTGATCAGGGTCAAAGTTTTTCATTCCTTGTTCTGGATCGCTCGGATCTGGGGAAACCGAGAGCGCTGTTTTGGTGAAATTTTTGTAAAGTTCTCCTGTTTGTGGTTCATCAACTTGCCATTTAGTGAAGGCACGTTTTGGAATAGGTTCACCTGTCTGATATAAATTTGTAAGGGGCGTTATGGTTAAACCCGGAAGTAATATAGTGCTAGCGATCCTTCGATATCTATGGTTTCAGTAGGATTGTGATGCAAGTTTCGATTTTAATTAACTCAAACCATTTTTTTTATCCAAGCTCAGGTCAATTGTAAAGACCACGAAAGACATCCTATTCGAGGTAGGTGGTGTTAATTGGTCCCGGTACCAGCAGGTTACCAAAGTTTGTTGCTACTGTAGTGAAATAATGATATTTATCAACAAGAGAGCTATGCTCAAATATATGGACTCGTAACGCCACATAGTGACAAACTCAGATGACGTCATAGCACGCCCGCCACCGCACCTCTAATTACTCTGCGTGGTTCGCAGGTTCGAATCCCATGCTGAGATGGTTATGTGCGAGAGGATTGCTGGACTCCTCGCTGACGCTGGGTGGTTCACGTAACCGTCGGTCTGTTTCACGTAACCGTCGGTCGGTTACGGCTTCCTCCACCACCAAGTCCATGCTTCCGAAACAGACAATATAACTAGTCCCATACCCAACTTGGAATGGTAACCGGACGAGCGTGGTTCGCCATATAGATAAGCCGTCTTATCGGCTTTCCTCTCCCCCGGGATAAATATGTAAATCCTATCCGTTCCTACAATACTTACCAACGGGTTAACATCAAGGTCGATCCAAGTCGTTGTAGGATAATCATTGCCATTCGCATAAATTTGAGAACGCAGAATCCTCATGATAGCGTTGTACTCTCGTACTTTTCTAATCTGTGCTATGGTAGCGCCACTAGTGTTGCATGCGCTCGTTGCTTCATCAAAGTTCATCTTTTGACTCCCATTACCTGATTTTGTCCAGAATAACGTATTGTCGCTTGCAGTATAGCTCCCTAGAAATTGAACAGAAGTACTAGTAATTGTCAGGAAGATGATTTTTACCGATATATATATATATAATACAAGAAGTAAAGACCAAAAACAACAACAACAACATAATACCAAAACAATTCATAGGTACACAACGTGTCCAATAACTGTACACAGAGATGTATTAAACGAATGAAATCTTAACTAAATATTAAATTTCTAATTTTACCCCACTTGGCAGACGAAATTCTTGGCATTGTTTTGTTAAAAAGCTTTTGGGACGAGTGAGTATACCAACAAACCGGTGTATCGAAAATGTCGTGTACCACTTGTACCATGTAGACCAATGGAACAAGGGACAAGTGTCACACTACATTTTTGCGATACCCCAGATTCTGTAGTGATTTATTACGCACATAATCAAAGATTTTAAAATGAATACATGTACCTATGAACATTGTACTTATCTTGGGCAGTTTTCGGGTCTAATGCGAGACGGTTTTTGGGCTAAACTGACGCCTGATTATTACCTAATAAGGATATTCCAAATAGAAACAAGAGAGCTATGCTCAAATATATGGACACGTAGCGCCACCCAGTGGCAATAATTTTGATGACGTCATAGCGGGGGAAAAGTAATAGCCTTCTGAAGAAAAATTTTATCTTTAACCACTGAAAATATCAAAGCAATTGGTCCAGTATTCGAAAAGAAAAGCGATTTTTTAAAAATGGAGACGAAGACAAATAACAATAACAACAAAATTTTGAAACGATCGTTATGGCCACTAAACGTGTCCAATAAGCATTAAGCAATGTCGTTCAGTGATCAATTGGTTATTGTTTGACTCAGGCATTGTTGAACTATTTGATATCGGGTGAAAAGTTCAATCTGGATAATTCCAACTTCGAGAAAGAAGAATCGCATTATGAAAATAGCGAAAAATTTGTAAAAAGTACCGAGGAAACACGTCAGAAAAATTCGTCATGTGGAATATAATTCTGCATTTTCGAATTTTTCGTATATGTGAGCGGTTTGCCCTTTTTTTCCAATCGCTTTTACAGTTGGATGAGTTAAAACTTCCGATATAGAAATGTTAACACTGCATTGCTATCTCAAGTAGAGTTTTTATCGGGTAATACACACGTTGTTGATAAGTATACGGGTTAGTTTGAATGTAAATTTATTTGCGCACTGTCCTTCATCCTTCGACTGAGACAATAGAAGACTATTATTAAAAATGTTTGATCTGGACAAATCTCAGATCGGGCGATAACAAAATCTCCGATTATATTGATAGAAATATGTATGAGAGAATAGTTTTCTATGCCACCATTATGCACGCAGAAGGCGGTATGTATGTAACGAGGTCGTCAAAGATTGGTAATCGCCGGGTTTTTTTTGTATTTTTCAAACCATAAATATACACATTGGCAACGACAAAACATTTCATTCATATAGTGTTAACAAATAGGTGCCATTTGTATTGAACGCAAACGATAATTCACGCGCATGCAAAATTTCTCCGGATAAACATTTTTTGGCCTCGAAACGAAAGCACTTTAATGATAATGATATATATAATGGAAACAAGTGGGACACGTGGAACACGCGGGGCAGGAGGGATACGACATTTTTGAGACACCCCCAACAAACCAAATCAATGACTCATTCAACTTGCAATCATTATTCCATTTTCTTTTACATCCTATTATGTTTACAGCTTTTATTGTGTTTATTGTGCCTATTTATTTTTGATTTTTAATATCGACCCTAAGGTCCAAAGTAATAGTGATGTTACCAATGAAAAATGATTGTTTGGCACCGCATTTTCCATACAATTACGGTTCAATGACAAAATGGCGTTCTATTTTGCAACTAGCCTATTTGTAGCCTCAGCTACACCAGTTATCAACAATACAAGGTTGTGAAACAAATTATTTACCTGCTGCTAAACTTTCACCGTATTTGTCTACATTCTTTCCAATTGATGTTATTGTTTTTGACAAAGAATCGAAAATCGTTTTATACGTAATGTTTATAGTTTCCAGTTTGTTTGATTCGGCGAAAATGAGCTGATATGTTTTGTTGCTTTGTTCCTCTATAAGTTCCTTGAAACTGACTGGTGAATAATCCATATTTGTTTTCTCTCGGGAAGATTTGTCTAAAATATATATAGAAAAAATATAACTAAAAATAGGGCGCTCTAGAAGTATGTGTACCAATATGGAGGGAAGGGAAGGGTGGGAAACGTTAGGACAATTTTTTTCTTTTGCATATTTTGAGCCGTTTATTCTGCAAAATCATTCCACTTTGCGGTACTAATGTAGAGAGGGCTAAATGTAGTCTTTATTCAAGGACTAAGAAATTTCCTTGCGACACACATCTTACCACCACAATGCTTTGAAAAACGTTTGTCAAGTGTCCCACTGGTGGGGAAGATTTGGACAGACCCTGGGGCACAAAAGGTCACTGTGTTAAATTCTATGAAGTATGCACATAGGCAAAGAATAAGCACTATAATCTAAAGAACGGGAGGACTTGCGGAAGGAAGAGGAAGGATTCAAACATCGAACCGCAGACCGAATTTCGGATATAGTATAAGTGTGAAAGCTGATTTTCCACTGTGCCCCATGTCCCGAGTTTCCCCTAACTAATTTTATTCGCCTACTTTACATCAAGTCGTAATGTAAAGAAGCCTGTGAGCAGGGGGTATGTATATTCACTAACACAGACAGTCTATGAACTCGTAATAGAACTGAAATAAGAAAAATCAGAATAAAATTATGGCCTAATCCTAACCGGGTACACATACTACGGGAGTACGAAAAATAGGATCAAGAAAAATCGTCATTATGGCATGGGTAAATAATCTAATTCAACATAAAAATCAAACCGCTAATTGGGAGACCCATGTGGCATAGTCACGTTGACCGATTTCACTGAATCTAAAATAACATACACTATTATACTATCAATTTCAAGGGTAATTCGGTCGTTGTTCAAATGTATCGCCCATGGCATTAGGACGTATAAAAAAAGGGTAAAGCACTCTACCTACCACATGCAATTGTCTGAGACAAACGTGCACGCATCATGTCAATAAGACGCGCCTATTAAATTTTGTCGACATTATTAAAAACTGCACTCGATCCAACCTGGTTTGAAATGGTCCCAGCCATATACCCATTATCGTGCCTAGTCCTGGTTATCGTATTCCTTTTTGATAATTGCTATTTTATTCTATCGATAAGCTAACGAATTAAAAGTTCACCAACATACACTATTCAAATATTTACCACAAAAAAGATGATTTTATGTTGTTTAATTTATGATTAATGTTGTTAGTGCAGGTAAATTCTGAATGAGTAAAAATCAAATACCTGTTGAAAGACAGGACAGAATTATTCCAGTCGCTAACGATCCACCCACAATAAATGATACAATCACTGCTAGAACAACATAACAACATTTTTTCTTTTTCGGTGTCTTGGTATCTAAAAATAATCGGAATATAAAAGTTGACAAAGACGTTGAGGTTGAGCGGCTTAATATGGATGCAAATGGCATTACAATTTGTCGCTAACAATCGACCGACAAGGAAAAGTTTACCACAGTGAAAATTGTGTCTGTGGTTTAGATCAAATAAAACATTTTTCTACTATCATATATTCTATAATCAGGGTGGTCCAACACATCCGACACATTCCGTGCGGCCCCGCAGAACAATTTTAGCGTACACTACTAACCCATTGGCAGATATTTGTATTTATCAGCAGAACAATTTTGATATATTTTCAAACCATTTCAACTGGAATAGTCCTTTTCCTAATCCCGATGTCGGGATTGATGTTTGTTAAATCACGGAATTTCATTGTTGTATCAATAAACGTCAAGACGGTGACTATATGGGAATGGCGTCCTGTGATCGGTACAAGGAGAATGAATTGTCTTGCTCAGACAAGTTCGAGCCGATGAGATGAGCTCGCGTCAAGTAACTCCTCATTTGAAGATACGTTTCGTGCCTTTATTTTAGCCAAAAGTCCATGTGACAGCAGTGACGAACCGCAGAGCTGACTTAGCGCCGCGCGATCCATTTTTTTTTTATTTGGGTCCGAGGTCCCAACTTACACGGACTTGGTTGTTTTTGCCACATGTAATAAATTTTTTCAATTATAACAATTCATCATACAATGAATGTAGAAAAAAGATGACCGAAGTAAACTGAGAGAAAACGTATTTCCTTACCCACAATAACCACAGTTTCTGGTGTGTTTTGAAGTAATATCCGTCACGGAAAAATATAATTTTGAGCGACATTACAAAACCAAACACGAGAAAAGATACCAAAAATACCACGATATTTCTCGAGAAGAAATTTTAAAATAACTAGAGGCTTTATATAGTTTTCTTAAAAAATTGATTAGAACGATAAACTCTTATTCTTGAATATATTTAAAAAAGAGTAAACTCGCGATGTTTTGATCACTTTTGGATTTACTCCGACTGCGGCCCGCGAGACCTCCTCAAAAGTCTTCGCGGCTCTTCAACCTCGCACCACCATGTTCTTTCTATGTGATTATACCTTTGAAACTTCAATAACAGTTTTGTTTAAATTTCAATCATTAATGTATTATAGCACTTATATAAAGCACTTTTTGTCATAGCATGGATTTTTTGAATACCTATACCAGGGTGGTCCAAGGTTGCGAGGTTGGCGGCCGCAAAAACTTTTGTATATGTCTCGCGGGCCGCAGTCGGAGAAAACCCAAAATTGATTAAAACATCGCGAGTTTACTAACTTAACTTTTATTTAGAAATGAGTGTTCACCGTTCTAATCAGTTTTTTCAAGGAATATATATAAAGCATTCAGTTATTTTAAAATTGTTTTTCGAGAAATACCGTGGTGTTTTCGGTATCTTTTCTCGTGTTTGGTTTTGTAATGTTGCTTCACAAGATATTCTTTCGTGACAGATATTACTTAAAAAGCACACCAGACACTGTGGTTTAACGTTGTTGTGGGTAAGGAAATACGCTTCCTCACAGTTTACCTCGGTCACCTTTTTTACACTCATTGTATGATGAATTGTTATATTTGACTAATTTTATTACTTGCGTAGCATGAGCAGGCCTGGCGCTGTCGTCAAAGAACAACCAAGTCCGTCTAAGTTGGGATTCCGCACCCAGTTAAAATAATTGATCGCGTGGCGCTAAGTCAGCTCTGCGGTTCGTCACTGCTGTCACATGGCCAACGCTTTTTTACTAAGGCACAAAACGTCATTCCAAATGATGAGTTCCCTGACGTCAGCTTAAGGTACGAAGTTTAGAAAAGAAGCGCAACCCATCTTAGCTTGGTCCTGTCTGCACATGACAATCCATTCTCTTTGTACCGATCACAGGACGTCATTCTCATATTGGCACCGTCTTGACGCATAAAATTCCAACAATGAAATGCAACATTGAAATTCCGTGATTTTAACAAACATGAATCCCGACATCGGGATTGGGAAAAGGACTATTCCCAGTTGGAATAAGTTAAAAATAACTCAAAAATGTTCTGCCAATAAATACAAATATCTGCCAATGATTTAGTGCACGATATAATTGTGCTACGGGCCGCACGGAATTTGTCGGCGGGCTGCATGCGGCCCGCGGGCCGCGGTTTGGACCACCCTGACCTATACCATTAGTCTCTTCACATGTTTTTATATTATTATATACATGACTTTGTAAATGTGAAATTGAGTGCCCGCGTACAAACGCACATAATTCAATTAATGGTTTCCAAATAATAGGTACGACGCAGTGATGTGATATCACAGCTAGAATTCCATCCCACTCTTAAACCCAGTCTTGTATGAATGCGTTTGGCGTCGAAGTCTCATGGAGGATTACAAACTATAGTATATGTTTCATTGTTTCTATTACACCAGCGGTTCCAAAACTTTTTGTTTGTGCGGCGCCAAATTATCAAGAAACAAAAATCTCACGGCTCACTCACACGAAAAAAATGCTGCTTTTAAATGATAGTCAATTTTGTGTTCGTTTATGTGTACTTTATGCAGTTCTCAAACATGTAGGCAGAAGGCCAGCTTCTCGTCACTGCGCCTGAATTACCTTTGAAATGCTATAAATATCACTCATGTTAGCTAAACTCGGCAGATAAAGAAACTCGTTGAAACTACAGCTCGTGAAATTGCAACAAGCAGTTCTACATATACTGTTACGTAACAATAGATGCAGTGACTACGCATCAAATAGTATACTATACGACACAGAAAGGTAAAATGAATTCATTCATTCATATACTCAGCTTTCAAAATACGATAAAACAGTTATAATGAATACAATCATATTTTAGTTATGTTCTGTTAATTTTTGCGGCGCACTTAGCAACTCGCAGCGGCGCACCTTCCGGGAACCGCTGTATTGCACTCTGCGCTTATTTGGCCAACTTACATTGAGTAGGTATCTGGCGATCGCGGATTTTTCCTGCTTCAGCATTTAAAGAAGTTTTCACTCCGTAAATTTCCGATGAATGATTGTCCACAGTAGATGTGAGAGTACTTAATTGTTTCCCAAGGTTTTCCAGAACAGCCTTCATGTTCAGAAGTTCGATTTCATAACCTGTTACCATGTTTAAACAATATACAATGTTCAAATACTTTTTTTAATAACCCAGTGGACGAAACGATAGCAAATTTATGAGAGAAGCAAGACACCGAAATCAAATACTAATGATTTACATTTTTGAATGTTAAAAAAAATTGCCAATGTTGGATTAAAACTTGCTTAACAAGTAAGTAGGCTATCATTCAAACAGTTCTGCAAAAAAGAAAATCACGAAACAACGCTGCAAATATATAATATCAAATATATATTATTTATTAATATAAGCAATGTCATACCATCTTTCATTGTATTTGACGTTATCGGTGCATTTACAGCAGCATTAGAATAATGTACAGCAAAACCTCGATCCGATGTATCTTGTTGCATCAAGAATAATAAAAGTTAATACGTTAATTAAGCGTGCTATTATTATATTCTCACATTATATCAGGGGTGTGCAACCTTTATTGCTGGAGGGCCAGATACAAGTAACTTGGTGAAGCTGCGGGCCCACCTCTATTTGAGATAGCTTTTCTAGCAGTTGCAGACATAAAAATTATTTTTTGGTAGCTAGTTTTGTTAATATGACAATGTCACTCATGTAGTCTCTGCGACGCAAGGAGATTTGAATTGCTCGCTCGAACCAGATTAACTTAACTGAAAACTCGTTTCCCAGGGACACCATTCAAAATTGGCACTTCTCCGCGGGCCGCAGTTTGCAAACCCCTGCTATATACTACAATATATATCTTATTGAAATTATAGATTATGAATCAAATCTCACTAACAGATAAATATAAAAGCATTGAAGAGAGTCACGGCAAAAGAATTTTCTTATTATGATTTCATGTCTATAATGTCCGAACGAATACCACTTTTGACCTCTTATATATATATATAACTTTTACCTTGCTCAACATTTTCGTACGTTTGGCCAGGTAAACATAACTTCATTGGCATGTAGATACCTGAATAGAAGGTTAACTTAAACAGAAATGAGTCTATATGAGATTCATTTTATCTGTTATATTGCTTCAGTAAGTCAGTTTACCGATTCCTGGTTGGCTGTTGTAACTGCAGCTTTCATTGCGCATTATTGGAATAAATCTATGCAATTTTAGAAAGAATTTGAACTAATTCTTTATCACTATGTATAGACATGTTCCATTGCAATATTAATATACTATATACATTTTTCTCAAAATGCAGCGGACTGTACCGCGGCGGAATAGCACTTTGATCGGAGCAATTAAATTATTTTCACTCACCTGAGGAGTTTTGATCGGGGTTTGAACCAGTATCAAAATTTCTTGCCATCGAGTTTTATAATTTTGAGCTCTTTTATAAAAAGAAGTGTACGTATCGAGTGTTCAATACTGATGTTATAGTCAAGATAAGTTTATTTGTTGCAAAACATTAACAAATAATAGACTGACATGCAAGACATGCTCCTAAATCCAGCCTGTCTAACCCTTTTAGTGAAGAAAATCATTGCATGCGCTAATGTTTTTACCAAAGTTGAATACCAGCTGATTTAGGTTAGATTTTACATAATACAAAAAAAGCAAGTTTAATTACATGAAATCAATGAAGTCAATATTTAATGATTACTGAGTAGGGTTGAGCAAAATATTTGAACATTAAAATAATGACCTACTATTCGAATATCTATAACACATGACATGGACACGAACCGAACAACAATACAAGCACCCAATAAAGTAAGTCAAGTCAAGTTTATTTATTCAACCAGTAAAAAATATCACAGTATTAAATTACGGCAAAAAGATAATTTACACAGTTTTACTGGGGAAGGGAAGTCGCGGGGAACCAAATTGGTTATCGAACAGCGACACCCGAGGTTCTAATATCTAATTAAAAAAGAAAGAATTCTGGAGTTTTGAAACTTCTATGCTTTATGCTGACGGTGAGCACCTAATGAAATATTTAATTAACGATAACCCAAACGATAGATATGGCCTACATTCGCTGTAGAAACACTCTATTTATGCCAGCGGTTCAGTCAGTCAGCCCGGTATAAAATTAGTAAAATGAAAAGTACGATTTACAGTTCTATTCTACAATCAACAGTTTTCAACACTAAGAACCTAACCTTCACTATAATTTTTCTTAGTATTGAAATATTTTGCCAGACCTTACAGTTAAAAGTATTGACTCAAACGTCACTCGCCACATGCTTGTTACTTTTTAACTTCCGCTTCAGCTAAAATACTGCACTCTCGATTCCTATTCATGACTAAAGGTGGGATTTCACCTCCTTACATTGCAGTTTCTTATATTACAATGCTTGCAGTATTTCGTCTTTAAATACCATTGCTGATCGAACAAAGGTATTACTAAGATTGTTAACTATCTATCTATCTGTTTATCTACTAAGAAATGACTATATAGTATAGTATGAATATGTGTCATTCAAATATGTAACCTGCCAAAATTTTATGAACATGAGCTAACAACGAAACCCGGTCATTTCAATGACTTTTTCAATAAAGATTCAATTTTTATAAATACTTTATGAATCAATGGACGTTTCCCCGATCCTTGACCCCTGAAAAATCCTCCTTCACTTTGCCATTGCAAAATTTTTAATGCTTATTTTGAGAGTTTTTGGAGAGTTGGCGCTTACAAACTGGCTTAAATGTCTAAAACTATCATTTTTATAAAAAAAAAAAAACATTAATCCACATGCAGCTTACAGGTACTGATAGCTAATTTTAGGCTAGTCTATCGCTAGGTTTGCGGGCTCCGTTTTTGATTATTGCCACTAAACTAAAAAAGGTCTTCGGAAGACATAATGAGATGGGAGGGGCTGAGCGGCTGTAAACTTGCAATAGTTACGTCATTGTTGACTGGTTATTGTTACGGACATACGTAAGGAAATCGATGCTCGGGGAAACATCCAACGACCGAATTTTTCAAAATACATTTAATTCTTCATGAGTACCCAAAGCGACCGGCCGTATATTGACAATTTGCAACGAATGTTTCTCTTATTATCACAAATATTGCTGTTAACTACAACTAACAGAAAACAGTTTATAGGTGCATACCATTCTAGTCTTACAATATTGTCTACTTTTGTGTAACTTTATAATGTTATGAAGGCCTTTCAGATGTGACTCACGAACCCAACCAAGTGTGCCCTTCCACAAGTATTATTTGAACGAGCTTGCTTTATACTTGCAATGCTTGTAAACCTGACATCATTCGTCATTACAAACTACCAGTGAAAAGGTGAAATACTAACTTCAAATGTAAGTATTCTTTCAAAGTAAAATCAGGATTAATCAATATACAGTAATTTTTTTCCATAAAACCTGATTTTTTTTAAATTTTGCACGCATTCGCACGTCATAAATCGCAATCAACAGATTAATCGGCAGGGCGTGACCAAAGAACGGTATTGTCTCAGTTAACCATGGTATTGTTAGCGTTGTTGCTTAGCAACTTTCCGGGGAAGTCCCTTCAGGCTTCTTTAGAATCAAGGGTGACAATTATATAAATATTACTTGTGCTTGAGCAGAATTTTGAATATTTTTATACCCGTATATTTAAAAGTAAGCACCAAATTTAAAATGAGTCATCACTTTGCTCCTGAGTTCACTGTTCTGCCTCCGGGAAAAGAAGCCGTATCAAAAAAGTTGCAAAGAAACAATGATCAGACAACTTCTGCCAAAAAGAGAGAAATTCAGCAATTAGATTTTGACAACAAGCAAATGGAATGGAAATTAAACCAGATAAAACAGGCAATGAGTAAAGAGAAAGAAGATCGAGGGTAAATTAAGAATTATCATATGGATGAATTTTATTAATTAGCAAATAACTTTAAATGTATAAAATCTGAGGAATAATATTGTTTGTCCATAGCAGTGGTTCTCAACCTTTTACTGACCGCGTACCACTTTACTGTTTTTACTCTGGCCGCGTACCACCAAAAAATCCCTGTTTTGGCGTGGGGAACAATGGCACAAGAGTATTTTATAATGTGGCACTACATTCTTCGTGACCAAATTCGCAAGACGGACGGAAACATGCCCATATCGATTCGTGGAAAATAGCAGGCGAGGGCAATCTGTAATGACTGGACTGGTCTATATAACGTTTCTCCGACCTCCGACGGTGTGGCTCAACGGGCTAAGCGTTAGGAGTACGCTCGCCACCGCACCTCTAATTACTCTGCGTGGGTTCGCAGGTTCGAATCCCATGCAGGGATGGTTATGTGCGAGAGGATTGCTGGACTCCTCGTCGTCGTTGGGTGGTTCACGTAACCGCTGGTCGGTTACGGCTTCCTCCACCACCAAGTCCATGCTTCCGAAAACAAACAACACAGTAAAACTAATCCCATACCCGACTTGGAATGGTAACCGGACGAGAGGCCGTGGTTCGCCATATGGATAAGCCGTCTTATCGGCTTTCCTCTCCCCCGGGATAAATATGTAAATCCTATCCTATCCTGACCCCAGAAAAATTCTTCCTATACTGTACTATTGCAAAAAAAAAATTATACTTACTTTGAGAGTGTAGAGTCGACCTAAGTTAAAAATTGATTCTGCAATTTTATTGTGATCATTCTGAGATAATCAGAAATTTTTTTACAAATTACTAACATACTATTTCATAGCAATCTTAACAATTTTTATCCACAGAAAACAAGGATACATATGGAAATCAGGTGAAAGTGGTAAATTGGAATCATATGCAAGAAACATACTTGGTAGGAGTGTTTCTGCTACAACAGTAAATGGAAGTCTACAACGAAAAAATAAACATTCCAATGGATCAAAATCAGCTCCGAAGTCTAAACCAAGAGTCAAAGTTTTGAAAGACGAACCACTAGGTGATGATCCTGATATAGCCTAAAATTAACAAATGCGGTTGATGATAGCTTGTGTTACTCGAAGAATGCTGGCTTATCCATTAGCTGTAACCATGTTTCAAATATAAGATAGAATTTATCCTGTCGGAGAGGAAAGTTGATGAGATTGCTGAATTATATGCCATACCCCGACCTATTGTCCTGTCATCTGACCATGTCGGATAATGGATTAGTGTTCCAGTTATTTGTTCCATATGTATGAACTTGATGGTGAAGGAAGCTGTATCCAACCAGCAGTTACATGAACTACCCTATGGTGGCAAAAAGTCCAGCAATCCTCTTGTACATAATTATCCCCTACATACAGTAATTCGAACCTGTAAAACCACACAGAGTAGTCTGAGATGAGATGAAAAGTCTAATGCTTAGCACAATGCATTAATCGCCAAGCTTGTCAGTTACCTATTTTATGAATTTTAACTTGCACTTGTCAAACAATACGATATCTGGCCTGTACTGGTGCAAGTCTGGAGGCAAATCTTCGATGCCAACTAAAGCTTTAAATGCAAGGGACCGTACCACCATATACTGATATCATGTTATCCGCCAAAGTTGTGCAGCATTCTTATTGAGTGACAACATTTTTATTGCTAATACATTCACCTTTGAAATGACATCGAATTTACACATTATTTATTCAATTTATATTGTAAATTTTTATTCAGACTTACCCAAAAGGGATTCAAGAAATAAAGAATTAATTGAAAAATTAAAATCAAACAAACTGCCTAATGATGTTCAGATGATTAGTGGAGATTTTGAAACGGAGAGAAGAGAGGATTGGATTCGTATTGCTGTTGATAAGAATAGTGATGATGTAACTATTTGTATATTTATGAAGTTACTTCTTTATTTAAAGAAATTTTCTCAACTCGAGGTAACTTGCACTCACTCACAAATTGTTCCGAAAGCTACTGAGACTATAATAATTTATCCGTGTAGAATTGTGCGTTAGTAAATAACGATTGACGAACAATTTGATGTAGTTCAGGAAAACAACTATGAGGTATTCAATTCCACATAATTGTGATGTTTTTTCTATGAAAATCGAACATTCCCTGAAAACCGGAACATTCAAATTTTCATCTTTCTACTCATGATAAACAAAGACAAAATTTTGATATCTGAATGATGAGTTATCATCTCTGTAATGTTTAGGGTCATTTGTTTTTCAGAGTGAGATCAATTAAGTAACCCCGCTGTGATGGTTATTAGATATTGAGTTATACTTTTATACTGTATTATCTATTGCTAGAAAAATAAAGAGTTTGTTTGGTAATGCTAAATCTATATGGAAATTCACGAAAATGGTCAACTTTCTGGAAACCTTACAATTTTCAATAAATACATAAGATTGTTCAAATCATATCACCTAGCAGGTTCAAGGGTTAGACTTAATTGTGATGGTATCACAAGTTACCGGGGCTCAAATTCTATACTCCCCACCTCACCCGCGGTGTAATTAATTGGGTAGGCAATTCCGCACCAGAAAGATCCCAGTTCTTCCAAGTAGTATTAGCCCCTTTATATCATTCTCAGTAGCTGCTTGTTTCTGTCCTTGTTCAGAGCTAAAAACATGAACAAGCATTATAAATTAAAAATTTTCCCCTGTGCCCCGCTGTATTCACACTTGTCTTAACATACCACCATATTTTGAATTGCGAACTAGTTATTATTACAGTTTGGTATAACTAGTGATTTAATCAATTGTTTCATCAATATTGTTTCTATTATTTGTTATGAACAGAACATGGAAATGCAAAGTAATTTAGATGGAAATTTGCCTTTGTCGAGTGTTCATGCTCTTGATCCAACTGCTATTGGAATTTATTTTTTGAAGTAAGTAATGATTGAATAGACTAGACTCAGCTCTAGGCACATCATGCTAAGCATTAGTAGTACTCTTGCCATAATTATTATTACCCTGGGTAGATTTGCAAGTTTGAATCCCCTGGGAGATAATTATGTGTGAGAGGATTGCTTGACTCTTCACCATCGTAGGTTGGTTCACGTAACCACTTCCTCCATCATCAAGTCTATGTATCCGAAACAAATAACTGGTAAACTATTTCCATAAACAACATGAATTCATTATCCATTCGGCTAGAGGCCGTGATTCACCATATGTATGGACATCGGTTGGGTTTTCCTCTCGTCCTTGATAAATATGAAAATCCAATCCTATTTCATTAGAATCGATCATTGTCATTTTCATTGAACATATGGAAATTGAAAAATTGGGTATGCAATAATTCTTATAATGGAATATTTTTTAACAATTCTTTATTATTCAATAGTAGCTGACGTAAAGTGTTTAAATATTCATTTGTGCAACAAATTATCTGTTCAGATTTATGAGAGATTTGCATGATGAGTAACAAACAGGAAACACAGGTTTATTTTGTGTTAAACATTTGCTGTTTACTTTGTTAGATGGGGTAGAAAAAGATTGTTGATGGCAGTGGATGGTGTGATAAGAAGACCAAAAACAGGATGGGGAGATGAGTTGTACTTTCCTTACGCTGGAAGAGTTTTACCAGAAATGCCAACAGTAAGTGTATCCATTTGATTGTTATAAATAAATACTATTCATACTGATATTTTATTAGTTAGTGTTACTGTACGGCAACTGCATCGTTAAATATTTTGCTCATTTTTTAAATCTCGTTTTGAAAAAAAAATATCAATCATCATTTTATTTGTCAATGCAATATAAACGTATCAAACAAAAAACATTACATATAAAAGAAGGTAACTAATTCAAATTGTGGCTGGAGTCGCAAGAAACCTCAAAAGGTTTTCAGGCAGGGACACCTAAAAATGTTAACATCGAAAATAAATTTCAACTGAAATTTCATGAACTTTAACTGACATTTTTAGTATCAAGCTAATGCAACATTATCTCTATTTTTGTTTTATTTTTTTATGAAAGTCTGTGAGACCAGAGCCACCGCTTCGAAATTTGTCCAACACAGTCAAAAATACACCTCGGGATGAAGATGACAAAACATCTGGTGGTGCTTTGCTCCAGGTTAATCTAAACCTTATTTGCTAAATATCATAACATGATTCATTAGGTTACTGTTCAAAGTTTATTTCCTGAGTCTTCGCCCAAAGCAAAAAGTGTAACTAATGGCTGGGGAATACTGAAGTGGTTGTATGTGTTACAAGTTATTTACAACCTCCTTTATCTTTTGAAATTGATTCTTCTGGAATGCTTATCTGACCGGCTCTTCTTTGGCAGAAGGCATATATATCATGCTAAGTGTTTGTGATACACTTGCCAACGCACCTCTAGTTACTCTTCAAAGTTCGCAGATTTGAATCATATTGGGGGTAATTATGTGCAAGAGGATTGCTGAAGCTCTCGCCATCATAGGGTGGTTTACGTAATCACTGATCAGTTACAGCTTCCACAAATAACTGGTTAACAGTTCCCATACCTGGTATGGACTGGTAGCCGAACGCTGTGATTTTCCATATGATATCTTATCATCTTTCCTGTCCTACAGGTTAAATGGTTAGATATGAAATTACTATCCTGACTGCTGCTCTGATAACTGGGATGAGGCTTTGGTTCATCATACGAAAAATTTGATTATATTCTCATCCCATCCTGAATAAAAATTTCATCTAGATATAACTAGATAAGTTACTGGTAATTCTCATGTTAAATAACATGTATTTTGATGATAGTATCATGAAAGTTTTCATCATTGTTTTATGTTATCATTGTAGGGAGCGTTCAATGAGGAAGAAAGTGCAGCTTCTTTTCAGCTAGCTGTTAATGACTGGAGGCAGAGTAAAAAAGAAAATATTGTTTCAAGTAGGTACAGACCTAGAAGAAAATATGTACCGGTAATTTTTTTATTAAGGAGTAAAATTGCTTATTGCTTTAAATTTGACAAAGTTCTTGAGAATTCTTCCATTTGATACTGGATTTTATTTGAAACTTAATTTTCTATTATGGAAAAGTGTACTTTTAGTTCCTGTTTGAGTTAGTTATATCCAAACACACCTGGTAATCTGATATATTTTTCTCAATTTAATATTTTCCATTAGGAGAACAACTCTGGTATACTTGTTACTTAGTTCCTTGCAATTATTCTTTGGCTGGCTTAGTTACTTTTTTGTTTTTTAAATTATGTTGTCATGTCTTATAAACTCCCTTACACGAACAGTTTTGTATACTTCACCCACTTTAATCATAATTATCCATGCATTTAGCTTTATTTTATATTTGTTAAAAGGAGTGTATGCCGCACATTTGTGTTGTAGGCCAGTATGGTCTTCACGTATCCATCATTAATTGTCAGCTTGTTCATATTTCTTACCCTTACAAGATGAATAAACATACATACATTGAGTATAACTTATTCAATTTATTGCACCTTATTTGAGATTTGATGAGCATCGACTCAATTGGGCTCAACCCAGGGTTTATTAAAGTGTATTTTATGCTTTCAAATAGGCTCTGATAAAAGCTCTAATGAAAAAAAGATTCCAGAAATGTCAGTGCATGTTGCGCAATGTTATCCACCAAGTTATGAAGTGAAATTCTCTGAAACGTCAACATTATCATACATGGAACATATTCTACTTGATAAGCACAGGTGAAAGAGATTTTTTAATTTCTACTCAGACCACGAAAATTGCTGTTTTTGAAAAATTTGATTTTGCAAATTTAAAAAAAGAAAAAACTATTGTTCATTACATTTCTTTATTGTTGAGTGAAATGATATACTGTTAAATTATGAAATATTATATACTGAAACATCAAGTTGAAGCCTAAATTTATTTGGGAGTATTCATTTATCCTTACTATACAATCAGAACAATCATTGCCACTTCATATTATATGGTTTTAATAATAATATAAGATAACTTTGATGGATTTTGTTACCTTTTATATATAGAAGAGCATATCTTAATTGAATATTAATACTTTTAATATTTTTTGATCAGGAAATCTGAAGTACCACCACCTATGCCAGTAAAATCTCTTTCTGAAACAGTGAACGGATATCTTGATCCATACAATTACAATGATGCAGATGATAATGAGAACGTTCTTACAGGTTTATCATTTTTGAATATATTTTTTTCTAATTTTATAAAAGGGTGAAGGTGCGTTACAGGCTTCCATTATTACATGCTGTTCCATGTGGTAGGTTGTCATCTATCATTTTTACCAACAACTGCGTTAAACGAATTGTACTGGCTAACCAATGCAGTGGGCATGGTGGCCCTGTGGTTACAGCGTTAGGTTTAACTACGATGGCATCACAGGTTAAAATCTTGAGTTAAAATCCCACACCCACCAACACACCCACAGTGTAATAAATTGCATCAGAAATATTCCAGTCCTTTTAAACTGTAGTAGCTCCTGACCTTACGGCCACTGCAAAACCTTGATTAGCAAAGGCATATAAATGCTGTGTTAGATAAAATTGGACCTCTAAATAAGAGACTGTAATTCGGCATTTAATGTTGTTCAAATAGTAAGTTGTTTTTATATAGGTACGAATAGTTACATGTGTGATTTTTACCATTTAGTCCAAAATGCTATTTGCTTCCGTTCCATGAACGACAAATGCAAGCACTTTCACACATTTTGATTTGAGAATGAATAAATATTTTGAAATACAGATATGTATGTAATAGTTGAGGATATTATGACTTCAGTGTGAACAAAATTTAAAATTACTTTTATGTTAAAATTGATTTTGAGTTTTTGTCAATAAAACAGCAATTACCATAGAGGTTAGCTGTCACAAGTGGCTGACTTTGAATAACTTTAATAACATATACTTGTGTGACAAATTACATTTACAAATATTGCATAAACTTCAAAGATGAAAACCTAAAGCAATGTTTCCCAATCAAGGGAGGGATTTTTGTCATTCTTGGGGGAGGAATTTCGCCTATTATTTGCTGAATAACAACTACTAATGTTCTTTTTTTTTTATTATTATTAGTAGTAGTATAATGGTAATGTATGCACATTGCACACATAAACTACATCAATTTTCCTAAAACATGAGAGCTTCCGACGCTCAATACTAGCTAAGGATCCATTAAAATTGGCGAAGCTAGGAATTTAGCGAAAAATGTTGGGAACGACTAAGTTCTAAACTATCTGTACTGACGCTTCACCCCATTAAGGTAATTTGTGATGGCTTGACTTATCGACTTTACTCTCACTCGATCCCTAATCATTCCATTAAAGACTGCAACAAAACTACAGCGACTATTTGGATATAGAATTTCTACTTTAGACTATCACGCTTACTGATTAATTTGTTTGCTTGATCTTAGTTGATGAACAAGAAGAAAGACGAAGGATCAGAGAACTTTTCAGTCCTGATAAAAATGAAAATCGATATCTTGCTGATGAGATAAGAATTGATGAGGTATCTGAAGACATTGTTGAAAATACTGAAAGCACAGACTATTGTATCATTGAAGAGAGTCCTCCCCCATCACCTACCCCAGATACAAGTAGAAGTACAAGGTATGCTACCTATTTATGTTTGTGCATTATATAGGTTATTTGTAAGTGGGATTTGAAGCATAAATTTTTATTCTACAATTGCTAATATAATCAAGTAAAGCGCTTTAACAACTAGACCAAAGTGCCCACTTTATTTCTAATTCAGTAATGTTTCACATATATTGTTTTGCAGTACTGTTGTGATAGAAGAAGTACAATATTCCGAACAAAATTCAGTCACAGAATCAGCTATTAGCAGCGTTGTTCATATTGATCATCATACAGACGGCCCAATCATCGATGACATTGAAATAGATGAAAAATCTGAGTTAATAGACCACACACACTCTGTGCAAAATTTTAAATCAAAATCAACAAAAATGAAGGTAAATAAATGTTTACTGAGTGGTCACTTCTTACATCAGTGGGCCATATATAAGGTGACCCAAATAAACAAAACCCCAAAATTTCTCAATTACTTCTACGAAATTGAAAAAAATTGTTTATAACTCGAGCATCAGTTTGTGAATGATTGAAACCAAAAGATTCAGTGATCGATTTCAGAACAATTTACACGAAAGTTATTTATGTTCGCTCTAGAACAGTGTTTCTCCACCGAAGGACACAGATGCAATTGAGTCCGTAAAGGGTTTTGGTGAATCTTCAGACATATTAGCGACAGAATAGCAATATTATTTATTACAACTCAACGCATTCACATTACAATTCGACTATACCGTTTTAGTTGCACACACTTCCACTTGGTATTTGTTAATAGACATAAAGTAAATCAAACTAATCATCCAGCTCTGTGGGAAGAGATAACGATATCACACTGTAAGGCTTAACTTGCGAACTTGAAAAATTGCACAAGCAAAGGTGCAAATCTAAGCGATAAATGGTGTTTTTATAGTTACTCCAATAAAAAAATCGCTTTTTATTTCAATTTCAGAAGTCTACTGCATTTCATTTTGGCTAGGCAATGGTCCGCGGCCAAAAAAGTTGGGAACCAATTAGAAAAAAATTTAATATAATTTCTTTGGGCATCTTTGAAATATTATAGAATGTATGAAGTTTTAATGCAGGGTTTTCATGAAGCTGAAATTTATTAGTACCGAGTATAGTTTAATCAGATGAATAAAAAAAACTTGAATAATCCCTGATTAAAATAAAACAAACCTGGTTGAGATATGTCAAGAATTGACATCATATCAGAATTGAAATTGTGACAGAATTTTACGAATATCCTGTATTATTTAATTCTTTTAGAATGAAGGAAAAAATCATCGAATCAAATCTGCCAGTTTTATCAACAACAATCTTCTGATGCAAGATGATTTAACAAAAAGTCTCAAGCAACAAAAAAGACGATCGAAAACGTCTATTGGAGGTCGATTGTCATCTAAAAAAGAAAGTAAATATTAATTTTTACCTTAAATTTATTTTTTTAAGACTTCTTGAAGTTCTGTATAATTCTGTTATTTGAAGAATATTTTCATGAAAATAAAAACAATGAATTTTTTTTATTAATCAATGTTTTTGTACGTCTTTCAAGCAGCCACTGATATCTAATAATATGTAAAGAGCTACCGTACTTCCTATTTATGGAAGGACTGGAATCTTCCTAGTACGGCATTGCTTACCCAGAATATTTCGCCATGGATTAGGTGGTGAGCATGGGATTAAAACCTACGATGTTGTCACAATTAACGCTTAAACCGCCAGACCATCGTGCAAGCTAAATCATGTTTTACATCAATACTTTTCAGACGATAGGATATCGAGAAATCCACTACTTCTTGTTCATGAAATTGGTAAAATACCAATAAATCCTGATGCAATTTATCATAAAGGATTGAATGAATTTTTCTCTTCTAATCAAAACGATCTTTCTGAGAGATCTTATAATGAAGTCATCGAAAAACCTTTGGAAAGAGATGTTCATTCTGTAATGGCCTCAGGTATAATAACGTGTGTCCATAGATTACTTTCAGTTTATAAACGTAAAATCTCTGGTTCAAATCCAATGCCAAAATTGAACAGGCAATGCAGTACTAGAAAAATTCTGGCCGTTCGAAATTATAGTAATTCCTTATCTAGAACAAGAGCAATACTCGAGAATATGATCATAAAGTTGTTACTGGTATAGTATGGTATACCGCCATCGCTCTTAAATCCACATGGTAGTACAAGTTTTCAAGAATAGCAAGATTTTGGTTGAACAGTCTTCTTAGACGTACTTTCACACCAATTGACTAAAAATTTGATATGAGCATCATCAACAACAACTGTTTTAAAACATTTTAATTACTTCATGTCAAAAAATATTTACTTGAAAATTAGAAACTTTATTTCACTACCAAGCATTAAATATATAACAAGTTACATATTAAATGCCCGGAGGGGGGGGGGACAGATTAGAAACCTGAATGATTATTATCAAGCATTCCAGGGCTGATATGGTGCTTAGACTCGCTTTGCTTCAGGCTTGTTTGTTACATGGTTACCAATCTTGTGTGCTTCCGATGTGCCACTTGCCCCTATTGAATATTTGATTTTAACTCACTAATTGCGATAAGTAAATATCAATGGATTAGATGTTAAAAATATCTATATTCACTAATTTTTTCCATAATGTAAATGCTTAACAAAATATATACCATATTTTTTTCAGTATCCACCATGTGGAAACCAACTGCGAGTTTAGTCAGTCCTGATTTACCAAGCACTAATGATGAGGCAGTTGTAACATATATTGATTCATCACAGAACGACAAAATCTTAAACTCAAATGAATGGAAAGGTAAGCTTCTAGATACCTGGATAAGAACGATTTCAGAGAGCAGAATGATTTCAAACTTTATGATCTTTGGCTCGTTGTAAAAGACTCTCAACACTTGTGTTCATCTGCTCTTCTATAAATATATCTAGCTCTGTTTTCAACATGTTTCCATCAGTTATTCTATGTGCCAAGTTATTAAGAAAAAAGCCGAAACAAATTAAAGTAGAAGAATATGCATAATGGTCAAATGCCGCTTTGTGGCCTTCTGGGGTTAAGGACCAATTTCTGAAAGCCCGATTTGAAGTATTGATTTGGGATGTTCACTCATGCTGCTAAACTGTGGGAACATGGTTGCCATTACATTACTAGTTGCTGAAAGTATCACTACTAGGCTACAAGGTGGTTTTCCCAACTGCTGACGAATTATTATTTCTTTCTCAGGATAAATGTTTCCTTTTTATATTATCGAACAATTTAGATATCATTTCTGATGATTATCATAGTATTCAAATATTATGTACAGCAATATGCGATTATAGAGTGGTTCCCAACTTTTTCATGCTATGCGCCCTTTTGAGGACCCGCTTGAAAGTTATGGACCTTTTTATTTAAATAAAAATTGGTACTTGTAACTTGGTACTAAAAATATAGTTACCAGATAACATCAAACTATTCATAATTCACAGCATATATTTCATTTTACTACCAGTAGTGGTTACACGAGACCAACCCACAATCCTTCCTCAATGCCTTTGGGGCAAGTGGATTTGTTTGCCTATAATGCAAGGATCCATGCATAGTATAAATTTCATTGTTTTTAGAATCAAATGAATATGATTCTGAATCTGACAATGAACACAATACAAGGGAAGACGATGATAAAGCTTTGAACGATCTAGAATGGGAACTTGCATCAAGAACAGGTTTGTGACATCGCAGATTTTTTTCGGTATCAAACTGCTTTGAACCTGGGCACAATGTGATTTGAGTGCATTAATATGAGTCGAGTGCTCTATTCTATTTATCAAACAAGTGTTCATTTAGTGAATTGATCGGTACTTCAGCTTGGTAGATAATATTTGACAATAGAAAACAGCATGAATAAAGAATTGCCATGTTATAAAAATTATCTTCACATTTAAATAAGTAAATCTTCCCACGAGTGGTAAGTTGACGATGAGCTAAATAAATGACTGACATAGTTATATCATAAGGTGTATGACCAGGTGATACAAAATTTATATATTTTTAAAGAAAATGATTGTGGTTACTGGCGGTAGATTATAAAATTTCAGCTCAGTGTAAACAATGTAATGGATACATTTTATGTTGCAGGGAATATCACAAGTGATGGAAGAATATCAAGACTGATTGATGAATGGTCAGAAGAAGATGATGAAGTTAATCTTAATATAATTGATGATCCCGGAGTAGGATCTGGACTTTCGACACCAGATGTTGATAGAAATTGGTGAGGAATTGTTTTCAGCAAAATAAATTAGTCCTATTGTCAAATTTAAATGATTTGTGGTTAGTTCTTTTCAAACTTAGTAATCTTGGTGGTGAGGGATGGGCAGAACTGTTCGGGATCAATTTTTAACAACAGATTCACCAATTACATTACCACGTTGGGTGTACCTGGCCCATTTAGCTCCTTACGTTTACTTCTCACACAGTAACTACTGAACCAACTTTCATTATGATGCAGCGTTATAATTAGTTGTGTGTTGGCATTTCTGGTTTGTATACCATGTCCACCACCTCACCTAGGGTGAGATAAATTGGATAGCCAATGCCAAAGCAGAAAAATTCAATTCTGGATTTCCAAAAACCGTAGCACCACTAGATATCATTAAATAGTCAAGGCAATTAATTAGCGTTGTATAAAAACAAAAATGAGTACCGGTATATAACTTATACATCTATTTACAGTCTTTCTGAGATGACATCAGGAAGTCCCAATAACCAGCAATTTCTACATGATTTTCAAAACATAGAGCAGATGATTATGGGTGATGTCAGTGAGGAATATAGCGAAGAAGAACTTTGATGTCAAATTGAATATCTTTCAATATGAAAAATAATTTGCGAGTTTTACGCTTGTATACAATACATTGTCAAGACTGTTGCCAGTGAAACATAACAGTGCACCCTCTCATTTGCATTTTTGAATTGCTCATATCCTATATTCAGTCATCAGTATTCTGACAGAATCGATTATAGATATTTTCATATCAAAACTTGCTGCAAGAAATGATACATTGTAAAAATAATAAAATGATCAATGAGCTTTAGTCTAAAAGAGACTGAATAAAAGACATGCTTTATATAATATTGAAAGCTCAAAAGACAGGATTGTTTTAAATGAATACTTGGTACCCATAGATGAATTTTTTATATTTTAGCTTGACTTTGTACTTTCATATTACACTTTATTTAAAACACGGTTTTTACCCACTGTAGCAATCGTTTTGCATCACTTGTGAAATACATGTATTTTATGTTAAACAAACTCTTATTTTGTGTTATGAAGATTCTGTATGTTTGTGGTCATTATTGCCATTAGCAGACTAATCCTTATTAGTTTCTCCAAATATATCGGGTACACTGTCAGATGTTGTATTTTTTGCTCATTATGTAGTTGAAAACGTGTTAAGTAGGCATTTCACTATTCAAAAAGTTGTGCGTGTATTCAAAAAGTTGTGCGTGTATAAACCCTTATCTATACCTTCTAATTCATTCAGTTTCACAAATCAAACTGCAAAGAAACAAGCAGCAAGAGTAGGACAGTTGTGTATGTTTGTGCTAGTCGACCTGTATCCCATCTCTTTGCATGGAATGCAAATTTGCATTTAAGAGCTAAAAGAAATACACCTATACCAGGGGATAGCTTAATTCATTTCCCTTAAAGACATAGAATCAGATCAGATCTAAATCAACCATGCCCAATCATCTCATATTGGATCATATCAGAATCGTGGCACAACCAACAATTTAACCACATATTCAGACACAAGAAAAACCATGCGTCATCATACTATTCGCCTAACAAGTTGCATTGCCAGATTTCCTGGTCTCCATCCTCAATATATTCACAATCACAGTGATAGATTATAATTTATTCCAAAAGCTATTGCACAAAAACTATGCACCACGATCAAATAATATATCTACCTATACAATCAACATATTATGCGAGCACAGCTGTATAAATTCTTATCATGTCTAATCTAACAAGGACTGAATTTTTGAAATTCGTCATCAAACTACAAAAGTGAATAAGTACATTGTGGTAAAGCATTTTTCTCACCCATTTGTTAGATAATATTATAAAACTATTAGGTATTCAACTACGTGGCCGAAACCAGTGCAATGTGCTCCAGGAATGATCCATCTCCTGGAGTTCTGTATTTTTACAGATCTTTATGTCCCACCATCTTCTCATCGTTCCACTTTCTACCTCTGCTAATGTGTGAATGCCTGGACACCAGTGATTGCTCTTCCAAGAATCAATGCATGAATATCATGAGTTCCTGCAAAATGTTTCATGAAACAGGCTTAGACATCGTTGCAATACCAAGCAAACATTAAAGAAATCAAAACTAAGCTAGAAAAGATATGACAATTTGTTGATGTTTGTGGGTTTGTTAATCACTACCTTACATGAGATGCAATACCAGTGATGGAAACTAAAATTCCCTAATGATGATCAGTTCTGTGAGCTGTGGTATATATCAATAAAGGGTGACCAAAAAAAAACAGAACCTACAAATTTCCTAATTACTACGAAAATGAAGAAAATTTATTTAACATTTGAACTCTGTTTGTGTATAATTGTACCCAAAAGTTTTAGTAAGCTAGGATGCTTTGCGGAAAAGTTGCGTTCCCCTTATAATATGTTTCGAATGACCTGGGTTATGATACAATATCAAGGAAGAGGATAAATAAAATTAGTATTAATTTACCTTCATATGTATTTACACTTTCTAAATTCAGAACATGACGTATAATATGTTATTCATCGGATATTCCTTTTCCTCCCAAAATATCCCTCATATTTCTTGCAATTTCCAATGATTTACTAATAAAATTAGTATTAATTTACCTTCATATGTATTTACACTTTCCAAATTCATAACATGACGTATAATATGGTATTCATCTGATATTCCGTTTCCTCCCAAAATATCCCTCATGTTTCTTGCAATCTCCAATGATTTACCGCATGAATTACGTTTGATCATTGAAATCATTTCAGGAGTAGATCTGTGTAAAATCATAGAACATATGTAGCAGAAATAAAATAGCCTGAAAATAAAAATACTTTTCATTGCTGCATATTCCAGAATTACACTCATGAGTGTAATTCTGGAATATGCAGCAGTGAAAAGTATTTTTATTTATGATTCAACCATAAATCAATCTAATATCTACAAATCTAGACATACAAAGGCAAGAATGTCCAACATTAATCGAATCGATTTGAAATTGATTATATTCTATATTATAAATTTTTGATTTAGGAATAATATCATTTTGGTCACCCCTGTACCTTCAAAAATGAGCACTAACAAAGAATATATATTAACATTTAATTTTGACAATCTCCTGAATATACTTCGACTCTGCAATACCAAAATTTCGATCATAAAAAAGTTTGAATGTTTGCAAGCCTTTGTTAGTTTTAAAATTTATAGTTCCCTAATAATGACTCTGGTGAGGTCAGAAATTCAAAACCACAAGCAGAATATGACTTCAGCTCAGACCAAAAAGTAAAACTTCAAATTTTATGTGAATCTGAACCAAAGAACTAAAATAATCCAAATGCAGGCTTACTTTCCACTATCTTTGAGTCTTCCAACTTGAACACAAGCCTGTAATCCAATTGAAATTTCTGTCAATGCATCAGCAAGTTTCTTTTGAATAAGTTGATTCCTGGCAAGTGGTTTTTGAAACTGAATTCGATCCAATGAATATTGACGAGCGGTAGCCAAACAAAATTCTGCAGCACCTAATGCCCCCCAAGAAATGCCATACCTTGCACTATTCAAACAACCGAAAGGACCCTGTGTATAAAAACATTTTAAGTATACAGTTATGGTTTTGATTCAAGTAAAAAAGACTTGACAAAAAGTTGGAACTATTTGAAGCAGAAATAAAAGCAAGGCTGGACAGCAGGAGCGGTGAGATTTTGTTGAATATAGCGTCAAGCTTACTATAATAGTGGCGCCAGCTTGTAACTATCTAACTTTTTCAATTTATTAATTTTCTAATACCATATACAAATAAAATCTATCTTTTCGACTATTTTTTTTGCAACCCAATTTCTAATATCACCTTATAAGTTGAGAGTTGAATTTGTATATTCAAAACTTTAAAGATTAATTCTAAAATTTGGGCTGATGTTTTATGCTGGTGGTCATACCAAAAAACATCCCATCTATGGGGCCAAGGGAGGGCCCAGCCCAGCACAGAGGTAAGAAAAACAAGGCTAAGGAAATGGATCCACAGGTTGAATATACTGCGGCTGGAGTCAATGTGGCTTGTCATGGCAGTTCCCAAGCCATGGACGGAAGAGGCTTTGAATTTTCCAGAAGTTGTGTTAAAATACATCACCAGGGTCTCTATAAGATTTATTCATAGTTTGGCCCTATTAGATGCTTTTCTGAGCTACTATCCAAATTATCTTACCTTTAAACCAGACACATTTTCTAACATATTTCCAGCTGGGACAGCAACATCTTCCATCACGATTTGTCCTGTTACTGATGCCCTCAGTGAAAATTTGCCCTCTATTGTAGGTGTACTCAATCCAGGCATTGATCTTTCTAATATGAATCCACGAATAGCGTCATCTTCAGCTTCATTTTTAGCCCAAACCACAAATACATCAGCAATTGGAGAGTTAGTTATCCTATGAATGAAAACGACAGAGGAATTTATGCTATGTGGAAATTGTCTGTGTCAGTTGCTTAAGCCAAAGAGTGCGAGCCAGCGCGGAACCTCAAAGTTGCAGATTTATGCTTGTTGTCAGGGTTACCTACACTAAAATTAACAATCACTGTATACAAACTTGGTTTTTATCAAATTAGCATATGCACAACTTTGTGATAAAAAAAAATGATATAACAAAATTTGTGGAAATCATATATCAAGTCATATATCTTGCTCTGCTAGATCTGACACCAACTAAAATATTGACAAAAGTTTAAATCAGGCCTAATATGGGAGTAAAACAAATGTTTTTTTATCTGGAAAATCAGAATTTAAAAAAAAAATTTTCTTATTAATTGCTCCAATAAAAAATGAAATCACAGATGAATTCCACACAGACAGACGTTCTAAAAGACATTTACTGTGTGGCCTAAACCAGCGGTTCCCAACCTTTCTAACCTGGCGGACCGGTAAAATTAGATTCAATGTACTCACGGACCAGCAAAATATTAAAATTGCCGGAACAGAAAAGAATAACATAATATAATGCAATGTCGGGCACTCAATATGCTTCTAGACAAAAAAAGCACACTTAAAAACATTTCACACGGAGAAAAACTATCAAATAATGTGCCGACCAAAAATTAAAATGGGTGAAACATAAAATAATACCATATATTTGCGTAATGAAATGCAGTGCTGGGCACCCATTATGCGTAAGAGAGGCACGCATAAAATATCTCACATTAAAAACAGGTACATGCCAAATCATGTACAAATACAATTTCCTCCTGTGAGAATTTTGCTGCTGTTCCGTTTCCAATATAAGATTGCAAACGAGGCCTCAAAGAAGTTTTTGCAACACCTAGCTCTGCAGCCGCGTGCAGCCGATTTCTTTGCTTCGTTTTAATTGAATCTAGTGATGAAAATGTTTTTTCGCATATCGCAGTAACTGGCTAAAAAGACGGACAACAGTTTGATTACTCGACGATGGGTATTCGTTATCAAGAGATATCTAAAATTGTGATAAGTAATTCTTTTTTAATCTGGAATGTGAAGTAGAATCGCCATTTTAATCAAGTCTTTCCTTATTCATTGGGTTCATCATATTAATCCCTCTGCAGTTGAACGACGCCTCAAACGAAATGAATTTGCATTACAATGACAAAGTCGTCGGTGACTTGGCAACGAGCTTAAAATCCTACTGGAGTCTGGAAAAGATCTGTCGCAACAAGTTCATATCTTACTGGAATATTATACTGTTCTTGACTGTTTTCTGGTTTAAAAAATGAGATATATATGCATTACGTTTTATATGGGTGGTCATATTAATCAGGAAAAGCACGCAGAACAGAAAAAGCACGCGTGCCGATTTTGAGGCTCCTTAATTTTGCGAGATTTGATGGAGCGCATTCGCGATGAATCGGAGGCGAAGAGTGTGAATGCTCGACGGCAAGATTTCGCGTAAGACGGCGTCAAGATGTCGCAATATGACGGCGGAAGAGAATTGCGTAATGAGTCAACGCAACTTTGTCTACGGTAAAGCGATTGAGACGGCATAAAAACATCAAAACAACCAAATTTCTCGCGGACCGGCAAAAAAGCTTCACGGACCGGCACCGGTCAGCGGACCGGCGGTTGGGAACCACTGGCCTAAACAACTCTACACACCATAAAATGAATGGATAGTAGAATGAGAATTGTTTTGCAGAAGCCGTAGTACATTACAAACAAAAAATAAATACCACGACTTTGTTCCATTCAGTATATAGGTTCCTGTCGCTTTGTCAAACTTTGCTCGTGTTTCCATGCTGCCGGGGTCACTACCATGATTTGGTTCTGTTAGCCCAAAAGCCCCTATCAACTCTCCTTTTACTGAATAGAAATAAAAAAAATTGAATAAAATTCGACAATGGAAAGAATTGATTATTATAAACCATGATGAGTATTACTTTATCATTCAACATGGGAAAATACTGGTCCAACACCACAGACCGATAACATCAAATTAAAAGACCTGACGAACAGACAACGAAGTATTGAATGAATGAAACAGAAAATAGGGCTCCAGAAGTATGTGTACCAATATGAAGGTAACTAATTTTGTTCGCCTACTTTACATCAAGTTGTGTAAAGGGACGGAAGCCTATGGGTAGGGGCCGCTAGGGGGTATATTCACTTGACTAACACAAACAGTCCCTGAGCTCGCGATAGAACTAATCTAGGAAAAATCAAAATAAAATGATGGCCTACCCTAACCTGGTACACATACTACGGAGTACCAAAAATAATAACCAGTGCTGTACTGTTTTGGTAGAATAGAACAAAAAATCATAAAACACCAAGTCCATGCCAAATTGCCAAGTAGACTCATATGCATCTCAACCTTAACATGAATGGTCAACATGCGCATAACTTCAGAATATTAGAACATGTGTGACGATGACGTTCCATAAGTTCTCCGATTACGCATGTGATGTGAGTTTTAAAAAACCTCTCATATTATTCTGTTTGCTTCTTGTATCATATGGTAGAAGCTGGTAAAGAATGGGGAAAATGACTCCAGCGTTCAATGGCCAAGCATGATACATCCAGAAAAGGACTATCCACACTCTCTCAATCAGTACTACATGGTAGTTAAAATTGGGATCCAGTATTATTCTGTGTTGCTATTTGATGACTTGTGAAATGAATAAAACACTTCCACAAAGAAACAGAACCTGAAAAGTAAGATTACTCATTGGCCAAGCCAAGACACCGCTGAGCATACCAATACTTCCCAAACACCAAATTTAACAACGAAAGACAAATTGCTTAAAACAGCAATATATCACCTTTTCAACCACCAAGCAGATGAGATGGCAGAAAATGAACAAGACAACAAAGACAACAAAACTCAAATGAAAAAAATTCAGGTACTCCTGTATTATGTAAACCAAGATGGCGGACACCGGAACGTAGTATGTGTACCAGGCAGTTAGGGTTAGGCCATAATTTCAGGTACAAATACTACAGGAGTCACTTGGCTAGTTCTCGAACTCATAATAAAACTAAAATAAGAAAAATTGGAATAAAATTATGGCCTAACCTGGTACACATACTATGTTCCAGTGTCCACCATCTTGGTTCACATACTACGGGAGCGCCAAAAACCAATTAAAAACTGCTTCTGTATTAGATCAACATATCAACCATTCTATCCTAGTTTGGGCTTACCAAGTTTTGGAAGATACTTTTGTTTCTGTTCTTCACTGCCATATTCACTAATTGGATGCATAACAAGTGATGACTGTACACTCATTGCTGATCTATATCCACTATCAACTCTTTCACATTCCCTGCATATAGAATTAAATATGTTAAAAATGACCGGCCTCTCTTATAGGGACTTAGAAAGAGAAGCAGGAAACTAAAATTGAAAATTGCAAAAATTTAGACCCTATTTAATCACAAAATAACTTGAAAAAATGAAAATGTAACATTGGCAACAAAAAAAGCTTCATGGCCTCAAGAGTATTATTATAAAAAAAACTCTGCAGTTTTATCCAACATTCTGTTTTGGAAAAAGTGAGCATATTAATTGAGCAATGATATTTTATTTTCCATCATTGAAAATATATTTTCAAATGTCTTCACACCAGGCCCAAACTTCATACAATTTTTGATTAATCCTGATAAAATTATAGCCTATATAGAAGTTAGAATATGGATTTTTGTATTCTTTCATTTGGGGGAAGTGATACGATAGCATAATCGTACGACGAGACTCGACCTCTAGTCCGGTTACCAGTATATGTCGGATATGAGAACCAAATATTCGTTTCGTAGTCATGGACTTGATGGTGCAGAAAAGTGTAGCCGCCAAGTGGCTACGTGAACCACTCATGATGGTGAGGAGTCCAGCAATCCTATTGCACAAAATCATATAATCCAGAGAATTAGAACCTGCAAACACGAGAAAAGTTAATAACTGGTCAAACCTTGCTAGCAATCCATAACCAACAGATGAAATTCCTGCACAACCATAACCTTTTATGGTAGAACCAAGTACTCCAAGTTCACCCATTTCTTGAAAAATTTCTTTGTCAAATTCTAAAAGAAGAAAAACATCATCAGATACTTCATGGCATTTTGAAAAACGAAGATATATCAATACTTGTGATTGCCAAAAATTTCCTCATAGCTATATAAGGTCAACGTCAGTATAATAGAATATAAATATTCATGCAAGTATTCAGCCCCAATATACCTAATTCAATATGCACATAACACTAGTTAAGAATCCATTTAAAATTCAACACATAACAGGAAACAGATACAAACAATGGGTGTTTTCATGCATAGCGAGAGAGAAATTGGAAGATCTAAAATACGCTAAGAGAAGTATACATGGAAAATAGGAACCTTGGGAACCCTTTCCATAACAGTTTATTAATAGTTATGTGAATAATACAATAAACAAGTTTTCTATAATAAAGAAGGAATGATATTATACTTTCGTGTCTATTCGCCATTAATATCCTTGGCATAAGTTTTTCTTGACAATATGAGTGAAATTGATCTCTTATGAGTTTCTCATCATCAGTGAGTAATTCGTTCAGGTTTAGAGCATCCTGCCAGTCGAATTTGACCGAAGATAAGCAACCTGGGAAGAAAATAATTATCCATCAACACTGAGCTTGTCTTTTTAGTAAAGTAGTTATTTATCCATACAATCGATCGATTCAATGAATTTGATCATTTTACTTGATGAAAACATAACCATATAGAATTCTCATTGTACTGTTGTAATCAATTCAGGTCGAATGAATCTTAAATTTAGTCTTGCCCAGTTATATGATTAAGGAATAATAATCTTAAAAAATTCATAAATTCCCAATCCTGCAATTTCCAATCAAATGAGTTAACACATACCAAAATACACAAGATCCAGAGAATCTCACGAGCAGACCAAGCTGAAATTCTAATATCTGAATATGCAATTACAGACTTCACAACGTAGTGCAGTAATAAGGCAAATATTATCACACATCATTCGTGTCTTATGTAACACTACCTGCAGTCAAAGAAAAATCTCTGTATGGTGATAACTTTTGTCCTTTTTGAATATGCTTCGAAAAGCTGATCAACGTTTTTCTGAACATCTCGACAGATAAAAGGATTATGAAATCAGAGAACAAAGCGTGGTATAGTATACTTTTGCTACTTGTCAACTATTTCTGTATCTCCAGATCTCATAAAGAATTTTTGAGGTAGACTATCTGTCGATAAAAAATGGCCAATACTGCAATATGACACGTAAGGCTGTAATGTCTGAATGTGAAACATTGTAATTAGTTTGAGTAGGCTCGGATGACGTGCAAGATATTTAGACTATGTCTATGGTAACTACTTTATTTTGTTAATATCAGAATAAGCAGTTTGTTTGTCTTCTTATTTCAGTACTTTGAGCGGGAACCGGACAACTCTACTACATGGACAACTTGAGCAAAGTCTGAAAGTGTTAGCAGATTCTTTATTAATAATTTCGGTGACATACTAATCCGTGAATTGTTCAAAATACTGTATCTGGTACCGGTAGCTCGTGATTAAGTAATTTGCAAGTGCAGTTTTAAGTATTCTGTGGCATCTGCAGCTGCCGCAAAACCATGGCAGTATTTCCATACCATGGCCGCTACGGCCAAACTCATGGCAACTGACTTTTTAGCTGCCACAAACCAATGTCGAGCTGCCGTTACCGCTGGCAGGTAAAATTTTGCTGCCGTAACCGCGGCAGGTGGGCCGTAAAGACAGGGCTGTCTATTATGGTGACAAATATTGGGTAAGTTGGAACGTTTTTCTTATGGATACAGTTTTGATTGATTTGGAGTTAGGGTTAGGGTTCAAGTAGATATAATTCCACATGATCAATTAAAATCTGGTACATTAATTTGTGAATATACCGTTAAAACTGATTACTGAATACTGAATAGCGCTATAAAACCATGACAAGAGCTGCCGCGGTTCGTTCGTGGCAGGAGCTGCCATGAAGTTGTAAGAACTGCGCCTCGTAATTTGGATCATGGACTAAACTGATATTCTGAGTTTTTTCTGATCATTTAAAACAGATGATTTGAAACTTGACAGAAAACGAAATGCCTAGGCCTACATAACCTTATTATATCTGTATATTGAAATCTTTTAATGATAAAGTTGTCCGTCATCGCAAAAAAACTTGCAATTGTGTTGTCATTTCCCAATAACATTTGGGTGAGCGAAAACGTACCGTACTACATCTTTTAACAACACTTTTCAATCTAAAATCTGTACGTTTTTAACCTTACGTCCTTACTAAGGTTTTGTTTGCTCTCCCGATTATATATAGGCCTAGGCCTATATCCCGGTAATCATCTTTATTCATTATGTTTCATTATTTTATCGTCTATTATGCTGATTATGGGGTCGAAATAAACTTCAGAACTTATACATTCTGACATTATGATTTGGCGCTATATTACGTATAGCCGGCAGCCGCAATAAAAACGAATCTGCCGTCAATCGGCAGCCGCATGTGCCTTCTACAAGCAGACGGGGAAACTATGGCGATCTTACAACCATCCCCCAATCCTGTAACACGGTGTACTGCAACCTAACTGCGACTGTGCGGTGCTACAGTGGGACATTTTTCTTAACCCCTTGATTCTGCTGAACAACACCGCAGACAAACGCGACGAAAAGGTATGTGAATAAAGTTAAATTTTACATGACAAAAACATGAACATGACAATTTTGTTATGCAATATATCTGGCTAGCGAGCACGAAATTCCTGACGAGATCGGCAGACAAATGACCCAGTGGCTATGAAATACTTTTTCCATCTTTGTTTACCAAAAATTTGAAAAATCGATTGGTCCATTAGTTACGGAAAAAAGCGATTCGTTCCCAACGGAAGACTATCAACAGCGATTTTTTAAAACGATTCATATAATATGGATATATCGTGCCCAACAATAAAAGCATTCAATCAAGCAATTTAATTTTGGGATGCATTTCTGCTATTCTTTTCGAACTCACGGCTAGGAGAATTAGCAAACAATTTTCTTGGATGGCAGAATATAACGAATAAAACAAATTTTGTTTTGTTCTAACATAACCCATTATACGATTCGGCAAACAACTATGGAGATTCAATTACGGAGAATATATAGAATATATATTATCGTGGAAACAGCATTAAATTGAAACCGAATTGAAATTTTTTGAGTGATGAAAAATCGAACTGGTTTCGCGGACAGGCAGAAGTACTCTCGAGTCAATGACTAGAAGTTGTGAACGATTGACAGTTTGTTTATTACAGTATTCGTTATGTGTTTGAAAACTCATTTGGGTATAAGGGGCATACGATCATAATCTAAAACTCGCCCCGGGCAGCGGAAAAGTTTGACACGTCCCTGACACCAGATAATTACATTTTTGAAAGAATTTGTATTTGCGTCCTACTTCTGAATTGAAAATCATTTGCATTCTGTCATATAGTTAAGGGATATGTTAAAAGATTTTATGACTCTATATTGTCAACCTCGAGTGATGAAAATTTTACCCCAGAAGTTTCGTCTTCAACTCTCACTACTAGAGTTTATTGGATCTCCGCTCTAGGAGACCCTTATTTGTTTACTTTACTTCCATTATTTTATGTTTCATTTATTTTACTTCTCAATTTATCTTTGTGTTGGATTGTTTCGTTAGCATTTCGCTATGATATGATCCAGCGAACCGAAGAAAATATATATTATAAAAATGTTTTTAAAACACGCTACAGCTTCTTCAATCTTCAGATTTACGATGAAGTTGAATTGGATGCACTCAGTGGCCTTGAATATTAATGTTTTAATGATACCAATTTCATCAAATGGTCGACAGAATTGTAGTATCGACAGCAGCGCCCATCGATAATTTGACTTGAGGTTTTTTACCTTATCGTTTCAGTTTCTCAGCTCTCTTACGGAGGTTATGACCCTTCTTAGAATGGTCGAAATACAAAACTATTGTCTCCGTGCGAATATGTCGGGTGACGCTTTTCAAACAAAGGCTCCATTAATCTACATTCATAGTTCTTGCGCGATGTCGTCCCTTGATAAATGATATCGTAAAAAGTTGATTAAAATCCTTCAATCCAAACGCAATTTGAAACCACGTAATTTTAAGGGGTGCGAATGATGCGTGTAGAACATATGTACGACAACAAGATGTATATTGAAAAACAAGACTTGGTGACCATAGCTTGATTATTTCTGTAACGTGGTTATTAGAATATTGAATGCAAAACTAGGGGGAGTTTAGAATACGGAATTTCGTGATCTACAACACTAGAGACTTTTTGTCTTTCAACTTTTTTACAAAATTAAACCGCGAAACCCCACTTGTCGTCGTTGTTGGTGCTGTATAAATTGAAATTGACAAGAAAGCATTTGCGCAACGTGAATGACAATTCCGTAACTTATCGATCTTCGTTCGATGACATATCGATCTCATGAGATTACAAGTAATTACCGAAATGCATCGTTTCAAATCGAACGATAACCATGACTTGGCAGTTGAAAAAATTGAAATTTGAAGAAACTATAACAGCTTCCACTGCCGAAGTATCTATCCGAAGTCGCTAGAAATTGTGCTCTGTACTATTTTCAATATTAGTGGACATATACATCAGAGTCAGCGAAGTACAAGTACCATTGTCAGCAACAAGAAAAAATCTCCCAGACCAAGACATTTCATCACTCCGAAGTACATCATTCAGTTGTATATTATTTCACAAAGAATCGAAAAAGTCACAACTCTCATTTTCATGGAGTCACCACGCTATAAATATAATAAAAACATCTCAAATGTAACAATACATTCTACATAAAGAAAAACACATAACTACAAATCAAGGAAATTCAATCATACCATCCTACAGTTGGCATATTGAAAATAGGTTATGGGACAGTCTGACAGAACATGCGGTTTACAATCAATTTATAAAAAAATGACGAAGCATTGATTATTTCAGTTGGATTACAAACCATCTTAACCAATACGTTCCTTTTGATGCTTGAACTCATTTTTCAAATTCTTTATGATGAAAACTAATTATAGAGCAAACTTTTACTTTTTCCCCCAGTCTACGCCGAAGAGCACTGTCCAAATTGATATAATTGTCATAAATGCAAAAAAGCATTCAATTATAACTCATCCATTCTAATTGAATTGCAAATTGACTACATTTTGGTCTAAAGTTAATATACCTACACACCGATCATGAAACATCTTATTATACAGGTAATCATATCCAAAGTATGGGTGACAAAACGAAAGTACCATTAAAAGATATACGCCTCATCTTCTCAAAAAAAATTCTGAGGTATAACACAATCAATTGATGATTTGTTCCAAACGAAAAGTCATTAAACAAAACAACCTATAGCTCAAATTAATACAAGAAATTCAAAGAAACATTGTATCACAGACAAAAATCTATAAAACAGATAATACAAATTTGATATTTCAATTGCATCATAGCTGCCTAATTAAGAATCATTTGATAGAAAAAACATTATTTGGTAATAAATTCAAAGTATTGAATTTGTCGTAACTGGTCACAAGAAAATGAATCATATGCCAAACTTCATGCTTTTACTTCTTCAAAAGACATGGCACCAAAATCTATTCTATTCAACTACAGTTTTGACTTAAAATCAATAGAGTAAACTAGTAATGGCAGACAATATAAATGACGAAGCTGAACAAAGTTACAGTGAGGCCTACAATCTTAAACTGAGGATGGCGATAAAAACCTGCCTTAGATCACAATAAACCAATCAGAAATTGCTAGCCAAAATAATACACGACAGAGCAAGTACGCAGTAACGTGATTCAATTATTGTTCATACTTGCAAAATCATAATTTCTGACTGGTAGCAGGTCATAAAAATAAGCACAAAAGAAATTTAAGAACTCGGTAAAGCAAAGTCACAAATGATCAGTACCCTTGTTTCGCTCTAGACTTTTCTGCATGTCCTTGCTGTTGACTGTGGTGGTGATGGGAAGTATGGCCAGTAGTTGTGTGCTTTGTTGCACCAGTTGGAGTAACATTAGAAGATGTTGCAGCTGCAGCAGCTTTCTGTTTCAGCATTGTCCAGTCGAATATGTAATCATATTGATGGTTCAATGTGCGAAATAGTATCCGGAATAGCTGGAAGGGAAATGGAAATTGAAAATTTAAATGCAAGTATACCGAACGTATTCGAGCTCATTCAAGTGTAACCCGATTCTTGCAACAAAAGGAGGTAAGATTAAAAAAACAACTGTGGAGGCTGGAACAATATGAATTCCACAACCACAATGAAAGTACTTTATATGTTGGTTCTTCTAACTTGCTATTGATAAAGTGAAAGTAAGTTCACTGATACAATTCAGGCTACATCAGAAGCCTGATTGTTATAAACTAAATACTAATTCAGACTTCTTTCGATTCAATTTGCTTAAATATTTCAAAAAAGCTGAATATTGTGTTATTCTGTAATTATGCTATTTGAACATCTAAAACAGCTTTCAGAATTCTATAATCAAGTACCGATGTATCACAAGTGCTTGCTTGAATGAACTGAGGTATGAAAAGGTGTCTTTTGAATTCTGTACTACTTAACCCAGAGTGCCTTTTTGCCATCTGTTGCTCAAAATTACTGTTAAAAATTCAAATGAAAATGTACCAAACTTGCTCAATTTGAAGAAAAAATTTGCATCAAATGAAACTACCCCAATTTTAAATGCATCTGAATAGTACATTAATATTAGACATTCCTTTCCAGAGCTATCTATTATTCAGAAAAATAGTGGTAATAATATGTGCAATCCTGACTATTGAGTAATAATCATTACAGTGTTTTGATAGATCATAACTAAGGAGCAGCTGCAATTATGAATATGGTGTCTCATGGTGCTAAAAATGAATGACAAGTTATAATCCATTAACCATTGCTCATGCAATAGGTAATTATTATTCATTTTAAATGAATCAACAAAGCGAAAAATAATATTACATTTACAATCTATGGATTGTTAGAGATGTAATACAGCCCTTTAACATATAGTTATTTTATACCTTTATATGTCAATATTTGTTAAAGTTTTGTATATGATTCGGTTTTATTAGACAATAATAATATATGTCCATGACCATGCGCATATAATTCGGTAGATTAGAATTCTTTCACATCAAAACTTGACATTTCTGTGAATCTATAACTGCAATGATTTTGTCAAATGGGACCTTGAATGAATTTTGAATATCAGCTTTGAACTATATTTTTTCAACATTCAACAAAAATAATATGGTCCATGGCCAAAATCATGACCATATCAACACATATCTACAGCCATGAAGAAAATTTAAATTATACCATCCAAGTTTACATTATCTTCCACTTGATTAAAAATTGAAGCAATAGAATCACTCACAGAAGCATTCTAATGAATTTATTACTTTATTATGAGGTTGTAGTCTGCTTTATTAACAATTTGTGACTTTCGTATGCATGCCAATGTAATTTTATTGCCTCCAAAACAGGACTAACAAGTAATTCACAATTATATAGCCTATATGGTAAAGAAAACTTTTGATACCGGTATAGCAAAAAATCAACTCTTGTTCCCAATCTTTGCAAAATTAACATGACCTGGTGTCCTAGTCCAAGATACCGATAACTATTGATTCATCTTCAACCAATGCTTATTAACGAATTGCCAGCATCAACTTTGCTCACTAATACTTAGAGAAAAATAAAGTATCATTTACTTGTCTGAGGTACATGTAGTCTGGTGCTTCTTCAAACCTCAACCCACGGCAGTAGTTGAGATACATGGCAAACTCAGCTGGGAAGCCCTTGCAGAGAACCTGCCGAAATTTATTTGTAAAATGGCCTCAATTAAATAAAATAAATAGGAAATTGGCAAAATGAACCAAATAGAGTAACAAGTGATCAACTACAAAATGTTAAAAGCAACCATGTTTCAATGCCCGCTCAAAAAAGTTCTCAAACTATTACAATAATTATCCTTGGAATATTTGATTATTTATAGGTAAGGCGTGTTTTTACTAAAAAGGTCTAATGTTATTTATATTAAACTCTTTAATTGTAAATTCAGATGGGTGATAAGGTAGACAAAAAGTATTTTTGGAAACCTGAAAAACTGAAAGCCGAAAAAATATTAGAAAATTTGAATGCTGAAAGCTAAAAAAATATCATAATACAATTTTGATTTAAACACCTGTCATAAATACAACTACAAAGTCGAAAACTACAAACCTCGACCGGTGTTGACATTTTTTTCTCGCTAATCCTCTCATATTTTTGTTTTTTAGTTGCTGCTTTCAGTCCTTGCCACGGTAATGAAGTGCGGTTGAAGTACATAAGAACGTAGCCCAGTGATTCCATGTCATCTCTACGACTCTGCTCAATTCCTAAATGTGCATTGATTGATGCATATCGAGCAGTACCTGTCAAATTTTTATCTTCTCTGTAAGCAATGTGCTGTCTTGTTCGACTATCTCGAAACTTTTTAGCAAGGCCAAAGTCTATGAGAAAAAGTTTGTTGCAATGTCGACCGATCCCCATCAGGAAGTTATCTGGTTTGATGTCACGATGAATGAAATTTTTGTTGTGAACATATTCAATGCGACTGATCATTTGATCAGCCAACATTAACACGGTTTTCATTGTGAACCTACGAGAGCAGAAATTGAACAAATCTTCCAAGCTTGGTCCGAGAAGGTCCATAACCAATACATTGTAATCTCGCTCTTGACCAAACCACCTTATATGTGGTATGCCAACTCCAGAGTGAAGAATCTTATATACTTTGCTTTCATAAAGAAGTTGTGGATGTCTTGCTTTTTGAGATTCAAGCTTTACAGCAACTTCTTCACCGTTAGCAATATTTATTCCGAGGTAAATATCACCAAATGATCCGCTTCCGATCTTACGTACTAATCTGTACTTTCCGCCAACAATGAATTCACTCTTGGAAGCACTAGAACTAGCCATATTTAAAACTACAAACAAACCAAAATCATATCAAATGATTAGAAAAAAATCTGCCAGAACACAACCTCAGAGTTACACAAATTAAAATCAAAAGATTATGAGGCTCATCCATGGTTCCAAAATAGGATCCACGAAGTTATTCAATATTCTATTTGTATCTCATACAACATATTCTACTTTTCACATTTCAACAAGGTAAACTAATTGATGATGATTCTTGCTTGACCAATTAATCAATTCTTCACTGCCATTCAACATTCTCCCAATACAAAAAACAACAGCAGTAATTTTTAATGAAATGCGGCAACATTTCAGGAATTAACAATGAAGAAATATTTGTCCGATTTACGAGAAAAATCAGGGCATTGCTAAAATGGAAAACTGAAATTAATGTGAAATCTTTATGGCTACAACCCAAGTACAACTACTAGTATTCTTGAAATTATGAATAAAACATCACACTCGACTATTATATATGTACCAAGCCCTAATCTCGTAGTCTTGTTTTATTGATTGAATAACAATGAGCTATTTCCAAAGGAGGAAGGCTTCAAGATATTACAATTATATAAAAGGTGCTACTGAAATCTTGTATTAAATTAGGCAAAAGAACTTTAATGTTCTTTATGAAACTGATGGTGGCATTTAAAAGTATATTGAATGAAATAAAAAGCTTGCATAAACCACAGAATAGAATGAAAATAAATCTGAAAAAGGGGACATGAGGGAGTATTATATCTATATTTTGAACTAAAATATGTAAATTCACAATTTTGAATTGCTCAAACTCATTAATACACCAGCTGATTAGGTCACGATAACTTTGGCGACTAACAATCAATTTGATGACAGAGCACTTGACTATGAATAATAATGTACTGAAGTAGCGTCTGCTCTATTTTGATAACATTCCCCTTAAAAATCAATACCTAAAATCAGTCTATTCTAAAAGCTAATTCAGTAAGAATACCCATACCATTTATATTTAAAATTAAGGTTGTTTAAAACAATGTTTCAAATTGTTTGGTTAATTGAAAATTATATAATTTATCATACGTTCATGCAATCAAATCATTATTTACGTCAGATTCAAAGCTGGCATATTCATGCAATCAAATCATAATTTATGTCAGATTCAAAGCTGGCATATAACAGTGGGGCAAAGTTTCCTCACATTCCAAGTTGTCCCAACATTTGGTCCAATAAAACAAACACTACATTTGTCTCCAAAACAAGGGCATCTGGCACAAAGGCCGATGCGTTAGATTGTGCCATGCATGTCTCAATAATAGTTTAAATCAATTTTGACGTGCGTCAGTCGACAGATGACCAAAACTTCGGTGTTGGGCTAAAAGCTCTTGAATATTACGGTGAATTTTTTCCCTTCGCTAAACAAGATGATTTTTTCTGTGGAATCCAATGGTAACGTTTTTGAATTACGTTTCCTTTTACTTTACTGTGCAGTGCCAGTTTGGAGGATTGTGCCTATAATATGGAGGCGCAGACTGTCTCGAGAAGAACGGGTTTGATAGAATAGATGTCTTTTAATGTAGGGGCTATTCTTGGAATCGGAGAACTGTGCCACCCCAAAAATTAACAGAATTATGTTAAACATAACTGATATATGATTGAATATTTTATGTATTGTATTTATTATAAATGTTTTATTGTTTCTTGTTTCAAATGCTGTGTATATGAATCAATAAATTCATTTCACTCATATATCTGTATATGTCATATACTATCTGTTACATAGTCTTCTGTCACCATTACAAAATCAATTTTTATTTAAAGCAACAATTTTTATTTGTATAAGTTGGGAATGCTGCCATACTAAATAGGTACCGAAATAAGACGTTTGGCACTATTTTAATAGATTCAATACAACTTAGACACCTCCAAATTACTGAATTTTGTCTTTTCAGCTTTTTTAAAATGAAACCACAAACTCGCCAGATTCTGAAATTGCCAGATGAAAAATGACAAGTATTTGAATCTGTGATGGAATCTATAACTTCCGAATGTAATTTTATCTTAATACATTATATGTGTTTTGCCTTTCCGTTTTTTTTCCTTCTTATCAAAGAAATGACGCTCTTTATTACTCTTAAAATCTTCGTGAAACAAGCGATGAAGCGTAATTCTGTAGTTACCGTACGGTACTTGGGTACCTTATGAGTCTTCGAGTCCAGTAGGTATATAAAGATTACAAGGTCAGAAGGTGATGGTTTATGAAACATACAGGTACTGTAGTACGGGTCTCATGTAGTTTCGTACCTCTAGTAGTACTTCTAGTAGGTACGTACTTCTAGTAGGTATGTTACAAAAAAATTAAAGTTCATCCGATTTAAATAGAAAATGCACCAGTGGATAGATCTAAGTGAAAATAAGAAAACAATACCAAGTTTGCAGAAAATGGTCAAGAATTAACGGAGATATCTGCATTTAAGTACCGCCCGATAGGCCAATTTTTTCCATAAGGATTGTATTGCGCCGACTCAAAAACTGTGACCGCGAGAATGTCAGACCGATAAACAAGAGAATGTATCTCGGCTATTTTTGGAGGTAATCGAAAAAAATTTTGAACGAAAAGTTATTGTGAATAGAAGAACCTAATGCAAAAAAGTTTACAAATTCTTTTTAACGATATTAGCTGCTTTTCAATTAATTATGTACGAGAAAGTTTCTGAACTTTACATAACCTCTGGTCGGCAACGACTTTCCCAATACGCAAGTCCCCGCATACGCGGCAATTAACTGATTTAGCGTTTTTCATATCCGACCTTATTAATGAACGATTAATTATCATTTAATATTCCTTAACTCGTAGGAGATTTACCGCGCTTAGTGAAACGCAAAACGAGAGAAATCGCTGCGAGGGAAAATGTCGGCATTCAGTCGATAACTGATGCGCGTTGACAGACGCGTGCAAAGATCATACTTCTCGTGCCTTGAATTAATTTGTACCGTTTCGTAAACGTATGCGAATTGACTTTTTTCAATAAGAACTTTAATAAATATGAAAAAAAAAACACATATCAATCTTTAATTTTTCGATGTGCGTCACATCTAAGAAAATTCAGATTACTTTAGGATTTTATTCTGGCAACGATCATTGAGGCCGTCGGAAGATCGTCGCAAATCAACCCTGGAGTTGAGCATATTAGTTTGACAGTGCCTCGATGCGGGTAATAATTAACGATGTTCTGATTGAACAAACTTCATAAAAATTGGTAAGTATCAAGTTAGGAATGACATACATGCGTCCATATATATTTTATTGGTGTCCATAGACAATATCATTAATTTGCAGTACGTATAACTTTAGCGTAATTTTTAAAAGCCCCGAATGTTGGGAAATTTATGCGCTAATGGAAAAATTCGAATACCAAATCATAGTTGCGCATTTTATCTAAGTTATGTCCAAATTTCATGGAATTCCAAACAACAGCAAGCAGTCCGTAGTCGTTTTTATGAGCGGTATTCTGACACGGCGTTACGGTACTTAGCAGATGTGGTGCGTACATTTTTTGGCGCGAAAAAGCGTGTTTTGTAACATTCCTACTTCTAGCGGGCGTAGCACAACAATTTTTTCATGTGTCAATCCTAACCCCCACCTGGCCATCCAAATATTACGTCTTTACGACGTCACAGTGACGTAATAGAGACCTTCAAACTATACGAACTGTCATCCAAGACGCGCACGTCTGCGCACCCGAAATCGAACGGCTATTTCTCGTTTTTACGTCGCGACGATTCCAATATGAGAGAGATCGCCTTCCAAAATCCTTCCATACCATTACAGCATTACGTCTGTCCGGTACCATACCGTCAGACCGTATGTCCTAACTTTGAACTACCTGCCTGCTACTACTGCAGTACCGGTATGGTACCGGTACCGCCACCCAGCCACCGGACTGAACAATCGATCGTCCAATAAACAATAGAATGTATTGAAATCTCAGAATATGACAGCCAAAACTGCGACTTCGACGATTATCGTCGGTTATAGGCTGTGAAACTACGTCGGGTACCTTATGAAACAATTTACAACAAGTAATTAATACAGCTTTTGTTCGAAAGGCTCAGCTATAACCACGCGCCCACTCCCATCCCACCTAGCAACAAAGGCGAAAAGACGATATTCGTCGCGACGCTGATCAACTGACTGGTTTCACGTCACACGTGACGTCAATTTTTCCGGTTTGTCAGCTGATTTGACCAAACACGGTATTTAGAGAAGTTCACGCCAATGACCTTAGATTTGACTACATTTAGACCGTTCCTTCTCAACAATTAGAATTTTAATCCAAAACCGAAGTATATTCTATCCATATCATGTAAGAAAAATAATAATATTATACGGTGCTAATGCTAAACAATTTACAAATAAAGTAATTGAGCGCTTGGCAAGCTGTCGACAAAAGGACAGTAAGATGTCGTTATACAAGAGAATAAATAAATTAAAGGTCAAGTAAGATAGAAACGTTTTTTTAGTAAATAAATATATATTCAAACTAAGCAACAATCTCATGAACAAAAAGCAAGTCACTTATTTCGATGTCCAATCGCTACTTTGCTGGCAACAAATGTCTGAACGACAGCCTCTTTCACCTCGCTGGTCAGGAATTTCTCTTTAATGCTAATGTTTTAATGGGGTAGAAAACATCATATATTGGCAATTTTTTTAGAAATGCTATGTACTTCTGAGTTTCAGCATTTATAAATAGCACTCTCTCTAGTGTTGCAGGCCTAGTATGAAAAACGCAACTTGCAACGTTTCCATAACAATTACACTAAAATGAACGATGACACCAAAGAATTTTCTTTTGCGAAGGTACACGAAATACAACGAAGATGATTCTAGAAAAAAAAAATTAATGTAAAAACTAAACGAATGACATGATAGTAGTTTCCAAATATTTGAGTGTGTCACGAAATACCAATCCATTTGATAAATCTTTTTATTCCAACCGCATGAACGCTGAAATCCTGGAAATTAAAGTTGAAAGAGAAGAACGCATTCTC